GCTTTTTTGGGGCTGTCTGCAAACTAAATGAAAAAGTATTAATACATCCCTTTGGCACTGGCTGCATTGCAAATGATTTTGCCCTGGGGAATGCCGAAATGTCTTCGCATACCCACAGCCCCACAAAGAAGGCAATTGTATACATACATATATACAAGCTGTATATCCCGAAAGGAGCCAACAAAAAGACATCAAAATTCGTACCCTTTTCTGGCAAAGGCGGCAAATAAAAGTTGTAAATGCATATGGCCAAAGAAATAGAAAGAAAGTCGGGTCAGCGTGTTCTGGCAAACGATTTCGATACAGTTCACAAAGTTGCTTGGCCCAAAACTTGTTCGAATTGTAAATCGAGGCTTGACTCTTGTAAACATCTTCATAGTGTTTGTTGTCTGAAAAGTTAGATTCAATGGGCAACGAGTGGAAAAACTAGTGCAATAGGTTGTGTTGAAATAGAAAAGGATTAAAAGTCTTTTTTACAATTACATGTCAAAACTTATTGAACTCTAGCTAGTTTTGTAATATAAATATTTATTATTAACGAAGTTAAAAGTATTATTTTGTTCAGACAATTTATGGGTATTACTTATGTGCAATTGTTCTATTTAAAATAACTTTTATGAATAGCTCAGTGTTTGTTGAATTTGAACAGCATTAAAATGGGAAAGAAAGTTAAAACCATTTAACTTAATTATGCATTTTAACTGATCTCCCTTTTTTCCTGCACCTATCTACTATTTTTAATCCCAGTTGGAAAGCATTTTTTTAAAGTGCTTAACTTTAACAACTGCATAAGCTTTTGACGGGGCTCATGCTGTTTTGGCCACAAGAAGAAAACTGTAATTGGAACATGGCCACCACAAAGCTGCCTTCGTTTTATTATCTTCGCTTCTCGCCTCGCGCATTTTATTTATTTTTATTATGTTTTAAGGGTGGTGATGCTGTTTATGTTGTTGCCACTGAATGTTGCTGCTGCTGTTCGCATATTGTCGTGTGTTTATTACAATGCAAAGTGCAAAAAAAAGCAAACTAAAGTGTGAAACCCCGAGGCAATATGATACCCATTATCTGCCAGTTGGGGGCGACAAACTCGCTGCCGCGTTGAAAAACGTTAGCGGGAAAAGTTTAAATAAATTTTATGTGGCTGAGCCATCGCTTTTCCCCCTTTTTTTTGCCTTTTTGTTGCGGCTCGCTCATGGTGGCGCATATGTTTAATCAGCAAAGTAAACCGACCCCAGAATGACCCGGCATCCAGTTAAATCTCACCTTCTGCGCCACGCCCCCTGTAAATAAAAGTTGGCCTTTTTTTGACACAACCGCACAGACACACAGCGGCAGTTTTTGGCCTCATTACAGTGCGTTTAAATAGTGGAATACCAAATTTAAAAATCCGGGAAATCTAGTTTTATAAATCCAGTCACGGAAAAATTGATTTACTTACCTTAAAAATAGCAGGAAAATAAACCCTCTTAAGAAATCTGGAAATATATATATGGACTTCTCCAAGTCCAAATATATCCCAAAAGTGGCAAAGTCAAGTCAAGCTACATACAAAATTGAATAAATCGAACTCCCAAAATATAAATATAATTTTAATATTTATAAATATAATTACCGACATTATATGCAAACTGGCAAAAGCATATTGACTAATATAAAATCATTTTATGCTTTAATTGGAGCTAGTTGAGTTCAATTTGCAGTTGATTGAACTAATATCCTGTATATACCATGTTTGTTATAAGTTGAAATTATGTTTAAAATAAGCCATAATTATTTGATCAATAAACAAATCAAAGACTCAAACTATATCAAATTGCTACTTCTTCGGCGGCAAACCCAATTATGTTACAATCAATTTACCTGGGCAATATTAATCAAAATTAAATTAAACAAGCCAACCCGACTTTATTAAGAGTTAATCCTCACTACCGACTGTCAGCTGTCATACAGTTCCGAAACGGACTGCATAATTTTGACTGCAGCATAAAGATGGTAAAGTCATTGACCAGTTAAGTCAACACTTCGTCTGCCGGGAGCGAAAATTGTCGGAGGTGAGTGGCTCCATATTGAAATCGCTGCCATCATCGCCGGCACTCTGACATTTTAATATTGCATTTTAAAGAACATAAAATTGCTGACACGACCGAGTCATATTTGTGTCCATGTGCCACAAGGATATTTAAGGATTTTATTGCACCGCACCAGCGCAGCAACAAAGGAAAGCCCAAAAAGCTGTGAAAAGTCCGACAGCCCACAAAGAGCAGAAAAGTGAGAAAATATTTTTCTTTTTTTTTTGTACTTTTATGTATTGAGAAAAAAAAGGTGTTCTATTTTTAGAGTTACAGAATTTTTTTCTTGGAAGACAATTTCACAAAGAGAAGTTACGCATTGGAAAATGACTGGTCGCGGCAAGCGAGGCAAAGGCTTGGGAAAAGGAGGTGCCAAGCGTCATCGCAAGGTGATCTGTGATAACATCCAGGGTATCACCAAGCCGGCTATTCGCAGATTGCTGAAGGCCTTCCTTGAGAACGTTATCCGTGACGCTCTCGAGCGCCAGGGATCCACCCTCTACGGTTTTGGCGGTTAAGTCCTACGCCCTATAATCTCTACTTAATCGATAACCATGGGGTTAACTTAACTACATTCAATACTTGATCGAACCTTTATCAGTAGTAATCAACACAATCTTAACCAGAATATGCGTTTGGTTAAGATTGTGTTGATTACTACGTATAAAGGTTCAATTCGATCAAGTAATTTGAATGTAGTTAAGTTAACCCCATGGTTATCGATTAAGTAGAGATTATAGGGCGAAGGGCTTAATAATCGTAATATGCGTCTGGTTAAGATTGTGTTGATTACTACTCATAAAGGTTCAAATTCTACAAATAAACGGACTTAATAATTTAAAAATAATCACGTAGAGAGCACAAAAAAAAATATATAGCACAGTTATTGCAAAGAAATATGGGAAACCTAAATTATGCACTTGGCTATAAATTTAAAGAATTTACAAAATATATTTAATTTTGTTGGTGTGTTATTAGGGGTCCAAAACTAGTCGTTCATATTTTTTTCCTGTGTAGTTAAGAAACGTTACAGCGGATAACATAGGATATCGTTATGTATAGCCTTTTGCTCTTTGCCACAATGTTGTTAAATTTTATGTTTCCACAGGTAATAGTCGTAGCGTCATTCCAAGGAAACTCCCCCACCCACCGCCCACCGCCCACCTGCTGAGTTTCTTTGCAGCGGGTTTTTTGATTGATGTTGCTCCTTTTCCTCGACTTCCTTTTCTCGGGCAAGCTTCCGCTTTTCCCACAATCAATTTAAATGCGCCTCTGTGCATTGTAAGGCGAAATGCGAAAATGCTCGTTGGCCAAATCGCTGTGTGTGCGGCCATAAAACTGGATAACTGGGCCATATGCTGCTGCACAAACTTTTCCCGATGCAAAATGATGCAAGTTTCCCTTTCGGTGCTTTTGTTTTCTAACTCCCCCACGTTTGCTTGTTTTCCTCTAGATCATTTATCATTTTTATAGCCCCTGAATGGGACATTGGACTAATCTAAATGATACCATCGCTCCTTAATGGAGAAATAGTCAAACGATAAGGACATAAATCAATCAAGTTTTGGAAAAATCGAGAGACGAGAGTACTTGGTATTTCATTGCAGCTTCTTGAAGTTTCCAGGCATAATAAAGAATCCAGAGTGCTTTTTGTATAAAGCAAAAAATTTGATTTGTGGATATCACGAACTCTATGGTAAAATGTAGTTCAAGAGGTTCTGGCTTTAATGAAGCTTTGAGAAACAGACATTTATCCTTATAAACTATATTTAATATGACTTTTAGGAATGAATTTATGCATTGTTTGAACTAAAGAAAAGAAACATTTCTGATCGGTTTTTAAGAACGTTCTTATTATAAATGTAATAAAAAACTTTATTGCACAATTCATACAAATGAAATCATTATTTTTCATACAATTATTGGCAATAAAATATTCTACTAATAAATTCCCTACATATTATGACATTAATTTTCCATTTCACCTGACATTGATAAGGGTCCTCGATGAACGAAGCTGACCAAATTCCAATATCGTTGCTATGCCCTTACAAAACGTGTATATTGGTTTAGCATTGTGCAACAGAATGCCGCCAATACGAGTATTTTAAGTATTTTGCAGTAAAATCTGTTTTGCATACACATTCCCAGTTTAGCCAACAAACATAAAAATATACAACATTTTTCCAGGACAAATATGATAACGTGTTCATTTAAATTCATTTCAAAAGGGACACATTCTTTAGACAACTTACAGTTCATTTCCATTGAGGATATTAAATAATTTAGAAAGTGCAAATAAAATGTGGTGGCGCATAAATGTGTTATACGAAGTGCCAGACGCAATTTGCCCTAATTCTTCTGCCACAGTGACCGCAAAGTTTTTCGCCCATCCAAGTTATGTGTGCCACGCCCCCCTTTTGGCCGCCCCCCAACCCATCTCGACTAACATGTCTGGCAGGCAATTGAAATACACGCAATTGAACAACAAATTGAATTATGCATTGCATATGCTTCTTGTTTTGTGTGCTGGTGTAGAGTAAACAAATTGATTTTGATTTGATTTATTTATCGACTCCCGTTGGTTCTCCTTTTTTCGCTCCCACATCCTATTTTTCTATCTCGATATCGCTGTGTGCTCGTTCCGCATTTTAGAATTACTGAAAAAAATTTTATAAAATTTGGAAGTTACAAAAATTTTTAAACTTAAAATATAATCTATTTAAATCTTTTAAGAAATTATGGAAACAATGTGAGACCTTTTGAAGGCTTACTTGGTATTGGTATTTAAAATATTTTTTTAATATATAAATATGAAACTATATATCTTACTAGTTAGGTTTAAATGATCTCCACAATTGAGATTTTCAGGATTAAAAATTCTAAAGTTAGAAAAAAGCTAATAATCTATTACACACTAATTTTTTTCAGTGGCGAAAGACAGTTTTGCGCTTGGCTTGCAACCGTTCGAGATGGCCCCAAATGGATTCGGTCGGACACTGGTGGCGGCAGCTGCCTAGAAATCCTGGATAGCCCTGCCCCGAAACTGAAGCCGAAAACGCAGAACGCAAAACACAAAACCAAAAACCGAAAACCGAGACCTCGGACTTGAAAATAATGTGCTGCAGCAGCGGGCATTATTGAAGTTGACACCACTTTGGCACACCGAGCTAAAAGGACAGGGTTAGGAAGCACTGGGTTTTTGGGGGGACACGGAGGGGAACAATGGTCATCCAGTGCACATGTGATTGCAACTGCAGTGATAGTAGAGATAACCGGAGCATTATATCCTGCCTGCTACCGGGTCGCAGCCAGGCGTACAAGTTGGGATCCTCGTTCGGTGGCGATGATATGGAGCAAAGGACACCATACTACCGCCGCTCATCGAATACCTCATCGGCGCTCTACGGCAGCTGTCCCCAGTTGTTGCCCAGCAGCAGTAGCACCACCAATAACCATCATTCCTGGCTGAGAATCCCCAAGAACGGCCAGGAGAATCCCCAGGAGAATCCCCAGGAGAATCCCTCGGAGAATCCGCGACAGTATTCGAGTCTGGTGAGGCCCAAGCAACGCAGTCCCGTGCTGTGCAACAAATGTGCGCTGTGACGAAGATACAATCTGAGCTGTGAGCATCCCAAGCAAGCCACAGGGAAACCGGGAAATACCAACGAACAAAAGCCGGACAAGGACACGAACATCCAGCGGTATTTGTGCCACGAGTGTCGTTTCAATAATCAGCCGCTGGCCTGGTGGGTCTCATGTCCACGGCTCTCTTACTTGCCCGCTGAGCACACGAAAATGCAGTCCACGGCCACGCCCACCCGTCACTGCCACGGAGGAGGAGGCGGTGGTGGTGGCGCCCAAGCCACTGGTTCCCAAGCCACCAGCACCACACCACCCACTCTGCCCAGATTCCCGAGCAAACGGCATTGCGACAATTTTGGCAGCTATGCCACATTGCCCACCATTGAGCATCAGATGCCCATGATGCCCCACTGCAGTCGACACGGTGGTGGTGGTGGTGTCGGTGTAGCGGGTGGTGCAGGCCCTGCTGTGATGCCCGCCCCACCGCCACCCCGTTATGCGAATCCCAATTTGAATGGCTGCTGTTATATGTACAATCCAATGCCCGCCGCCCATCAGAACCAGAGCCACCTCCAGCATGGCCATCACCACCCACAGCCCCACCAGATGCCCCAGCACCACCACCAGAGTCCCCACAACCACCCCCACGCCCACACCCACCCACAGCCCCACCAATACGCCCCGCAATACTGCCTCTGCGATAATTGGTACCATCAGCCACCGCCGCCGCAGCAACAGCACCACCAACAAAGGAGCAAGAATCTAATGGCCAACGGCGGCTGCTATTTTGGTAAGTACACTCATGGAAAATTTAAAAGAAGAAGCCATAAATTAGGTTCTAATTGAAAAGAAAAAACACTCCCTACTTGGGTGGGAAATTTATTTGGTACCGGACAACCCACAAGTCTGTTAAAGAACTCTTAAAGGTGCTGTACGATTTTTAATTGGTTTTTAAGAAAACAATACTGAATTGTTATTATATATTATTGATTTAATTTATTGGTTCGCAAATATTCGATAAGCATATCAATTGAGCTTTTTATGCTTTCTTAAAATAAATTATTTCTATGGATAACTCCTTGAGTTTTTGTTTTGGTGCAACGCGGCAAACCAGCCGATTTTGCCCATCATTTAATCATATCCCAATTGCTTTTGAATGCCCAGGTTACGAGCCGACCCATCATCCCAACCTCCATGCCACGCCCCCCCATCCCAGCCACATCACTGACGAGGAGGATTCGGCATTCCCTGGACTGGCCGATCGAGAGTTCCACATGCTCCACCGGAATATTCCGGCACTGCGACGAACCGGAGTGGATACCACACGGATTAGACAGGTGAGAAATATATCAAAGGTGGGGGCGTACTATACAGCCAACTTTCGGTGCCTGTCAAACTGTAATTGCCGGCCCTTTGTCCTGATACTTTCAGTGCACACAAAAAACAGTTCTATATTTATTTTATATTGGATAAAATAGATAATGTAAACATATATTTACATTGTTTCCTTTTTAAGGGAATAAAATATATTTTTTACTATTGGTGACTCATAGTATTATTGGTAAATCATTAATTTATTTAATTTTAACCCAATAACTATTTTATTTTGATATTCAAATATCATATTATAATTCCCAAAAATATCAAAATACTACTATATATCAACGAAAAATAATCATATTCATATCATATCCTTTTTGTTGTGTACTTGCAGTATTTCTATCCCGATGGCGGCTGGGGATGGATCATCTGCGGCGTGTCCTTTCTGGTCCACATCCTGACCACCGGACTGCAGCTGAGCTACGGCCTTTTGTGGTTCTATGCCGTCCAGTATTTGCATAATACCAGTGGCATAGGTAAGTCATGAAAAGGGGGGGGATGCAGAGGGAATCCTTTTTGCAAGCTCCTCAATCGGGATGTGGTATCTGAGTCTTAGCAGCCTGTTGTTATTTCTCGGCCATTTTCCTGTTTTCCTACTCATTTGTGGTGTTTTCTATTTTGACCCCCCGTTGTGGAGCAATCAAAATGTTTGTCACTCTTTGCTCGAAATGCAAATGTTTGTGATAAGTACATGTTTGTAGGTGTGGATAAATTTTGCATAAATTTCATTTGCTCTCGACAGTGTGGACATAATTTAAGAATAGTGTGAATTTTGTGTATTGCAGAAAGTGTTTTTCAGCATAAATCGTAAAAATAAAGTGTTAATGTCGTGTCAGCATGCAGTCCGTATTTCACCCAATTTCCTGTGTTTGCTTATTTTAAGATTATAATAATATTTTATTGACCAATAGATGGGCTTCGCTATATTTATATTTTAAAAATAATAAATGCACGTGCTTTTATTTATGGAATAGTTCAATGTAGCATTTAACAAATTACAGTAAAATAAAATAGATAAAACAATCAATATTTCAATGAAAAGCCAAACAATTTGTACTCACAGCAAAAAAGATATGAATCAAAGGTTGTCATGTATAAAACATGTGTTTTATAGTGTCCATAAAGTTACAAAAGGATACATCTTGTTGAAGTAAATGTAGTAATCAAAATTAAGTGTTAATTATTTAGTTCGAGTTTAGCATGTGTAAACTCAGCAAAGTCAAGTTAATGCGTTTTATTGATTTATGCGCATTCCAAACCTTCCCTTTCAACCACTTTTTCAAGGACCATTTGTGGTTCTCGAAATCGTCACTTTAAATTTGCCTAAAACGACCCCCGTATTTGTTTCATTATATTTACACTCAGAACACACCTTTTCTGGTACACATTAGGTCCTTCGTCAAGCTGACTTTGCCGCTTTAAAATATTATCACTCAAGTGCTTAATTTCTCCTTACAGAACTGCTGGGCGCTTTGAGCTGGTCAGTTTCCATGGTGGCCACATCGTTTGTGGTGTCCCTCTGTCGCAAACGCTCCATCCGCCTTCTATCCATCGTGGGCGGACTGGTGATGCCCCTGGGCATACTGTTCACCTCATTTGCCACGGAATTTGGCCAGGTTGTTTTCAGTTATGGTGCGTACAACCGGGGCATGGGGTATATATAAATAAATAACCTGCCAGATGCCAGTCAGCCAGCTACGGAAGTTCCTTATCATTTGCAGTTAAACACTGGCAAAATAATAACGACCTTTCGTATGCCCATACTTTTCTTGAATCAGAAATTGATTTAGGAACTCTTGATATACTTTTAAATGACTTGAAAGTCAAGCTAAAAAATTAAAGACATTGAGCACTTATAAGCAATCATCTGAAATGTTTGAGGATTTTGTAATTGACAAGACAAAATCTCCCTACATGTTATACTTCTTTATTTTAAGCCTAAAATATACTTAAAACAATGAATTGTAAATTAAAGTTCCTCCTTTTATTTAAATAAAAATTAATTTGAAAGTATATTTGATTTAACTTTACCAGAAACTCAAAAATCTCAAACTTAATCAAAGTTTATTGTCAGAAAATGAATAGTCTCTGAAACAGAACCGATAGTGGATAAATCTTATTCTTATATCATAAACTTTAATATAAAATGCCAAATATTTTTCCTCAATGCACTGAAAACACCACTCCCGACACATCCTTAGGCGTCGTCTTCGGAGTGGGGGTCGCAATGGTGCGGGAGGCATCCACCGTGATGTTGGGCAATTACTTTAAGCGGCGCCGTCAATTCGTCGAAATGGTGGCCATGTCCGGCGAGGGAGTTGGCATCGCTTTGTTCTCCGTCATTTTGAAGGAGGGCGTGGGCAAGGCGGGATGGCGCCTGGGCCTCCAGATTGTCGCTGCCCTGACGGCACTCAGCTTTTTCATGGGCCTAATGTACCGCCCCGCCTCCCTATATCATCCCCAACGGCGGGCCATCCAGCATCTCAAAAATCAGCGCAAAAAGGTGGGAAATTGTGTTGTGCTAAGTTTTGGTTTTAATTTGCGACCCCATTTTCAGATGCGGGAGAAGAAGCCGATTCTCAGCCAGGAGGTGGAGAGCACTCCGAGATACTTGTTTCTGGACATATCATCACTGAAGTCGGTGACCGTTAAAATTTTACTCATGACCTCCAGCGTTGCCTCCTTCGGCATTTATACACCCATGTTCCTAATGGTAAGTGCTTTTCCAAATTTATCTTGCTTATTTTGGGATGATTAAAAGCTTAAAAGCATTTTTTTAAAAGCGAATATGTTTTATATTACCATGAATTAAATTTGTAGATATTTTTATGTGCTAATATTAAGGGAGAAACATTAGTTCGTGTGATTTAAGTGGTGTATTTATTATTAGGCAATTTTATTTAACTTATGCCTATAACTTATAGCCTATAAATATTTTCTTCCGATTTTTGATAGGCTCTTAATGCCGCCGAGCAGGGCTCTGATGTGCAAGAGTTGGTTCTCCTGCAGACTTTCTTGGGAATTTCCATGGCCCTGGGAGTGGTTATAGCTGGAGCCTTGCTGAGACGCTGTTTTGTGATCAGGCACTTCGTGATCAATACCAAAATAGTCACACAGGTGGGTCACTGCTTGAATAAATATCACAACATTCCCCTTAATTTGTTCCTCCATTTAACCCATAGATGTTCATATCAATTGTGGCCTTGGCTATCCTGTTTCTGTCCTTTGTCATGGGTTATACTGGCCTGTGCATACTGAGCTGGTTGTATGGCATTGGTCTGGGTGGTTTTCAGTACTCGCTGAAAATACTGGCACTGGAACGCATTAAGCTGAAACATTTCTCCAAGGCCTGGGGTGAGTTGTGCGTTGTTAAATACTTAAATTATTGATTCAACTTTGCGTTCTGCACTCTGGCAGGTTTTATTCGAGGGGTTGAGTCAGTTCCTGTGCTGATAAGCGTACCACTCACCTCGTTTCTGAACGATTACTCCCTTAAATACGGACGGGCGGGCTATTACATATGCTCAGCGGCAGCAGCCATCTCGGGAATTATAATATTTTTCATAAGTGAGCCACAGCAGCAGCAGCAGCAGCAGTTGCATCATCATCAATATCAGCAGAGAAATGGTCATTTGCCGACTCCCATGCTGATGCGCCACTCCTCCGCCCGCCAGCACCGCCCCCATTTGCCGATGGACTACGGCTATGGGGAGTACCCCGCCCCCGCCCCGGACCTCCTCAGTCGGAGCTGCATTAGTCTCAATCAAATGGAGCCCTATCTGCAGTCCAACTACTGCCAAAGACACATGTTGCAGCAGCAGCAGCAGCAGCAACAACAGCAGTTGCAGCAACATTCCCATCTGCAGCAGTTGGCCTGCCACAATCTCGACTTGCAGCAGCACCAGGTAATGTTGCACTTAGAGAAATAAAAATAATAAGAAGATTATTAAATTATAAATAATAAAATGATTTAATATGACAATGTCTAAACCAAGGGGTACAATTTCTCCACTAAAATAAATTAAATAAATTTAAAAAAATTATAAATATCAATCTGATGTCTATAAAATACATATTTTTTCCCATGCAGGTGCGTGGAGCCTACCAGTTGGGCCAGGGGAGCATTGGAGCCAGGATGGGGAAGCGCCTGCAGCGGAGTCTGTCCTTCATCCAGCAGCACAGCAACTGCTGCGACGGACAGATGTACTGCAGTTGGCACAGCACCTACGAACTGGGCTGCCACAAGAGCAACAAGTGAGTAGAATATATGGGAGGGGACTCCTAATCACACCCGTGTGTGCAGTAAACCTGCTCCCTTTAGATGCAGCTGAATGGGAAATCAAAGTTCAGTTCGAAATTGTCTGACAATTTTGCAAGTTAAGTAGCTATCGACAGCTTACACAGAATAAATTGGTAATAGTCAAAGGGATTACGATTGCGCAGGGCAAGTATTAAACATAGTAGTGACACACATTTGTGCACAGCAGGTAATGCCACTGGCTATCATGACGATACTATAGCTTAATGAATTTTTAAAACGCGAAATTGCATTTATCACTGTAATTTATAGTTAGCTTTGGGATATTTTCCGATGCAGAGAAAATGTATTATGCCAGCAATTATCCGAGTTATCAGGGCTTTTCATTTTTAAAATTATATAAAAATTGCAAAACTATGTATTTATTATTGTCAGTTATATCCATGAAGCAATAAGAAGCTCAATCCATTATTAAAAATATTTCCATTTTACATAAATTAAATTTCATGTCATTATTTTAAACTGAATACATTAATTTCAATTTCTTAAGCAAATGGTTATTAATCTACTATCGATCAATCGTTTTCAAAGTTAAGTAGTCAAAACGGAAGACATCGTCTTAATTGAACCAAAAACCAATTAAGGGAATTCCCCGCCGAGCCAAACAATCAATGGCAATCAGGCTGGAAGCCCTAGAAAGACAATCAATTTGGCGGCTTCCTTGCTGCTCATGCAGGCCGCAAATTTGCCATTTTGCCAATTTACCAATTCGCCACTCTAGAATTTTGCGATGCTAGCCTGAGATTCTCGTACCATTTTACCGCATGCCGAAAACAGTGTTGACACTCTGCCTAAACCATGGAAATTGACTTGCCATTTTGCAGGAACCCGGTATCGGCGGACCGACAGCCATTGATATGCACCTGCAGCAGTCCAAATAGGACTCCGGCCACCTATGGACATCCCGCTCCGCCCACCTCCGCCCGCAGTCGCAGTGTTCCGGAGGGCTTATCCACGATGTCGCAGCAGTGTAACTGTCGGCAGGGTCCCGCCCCCTTTCCACCACCCACCAGGGAGTTCATCTACGTGCCACACGCCTACGCCTCCCTCCAAAGGACACCCCATCGCCAGAGCCAGGGTTCGGGTTCGGGGGCATTGCGAAACAATCCACAATGCCGCCTGAAACGATCCCAATCCCTTTGCCGACCCACTGCCGTGCAGTTCGTGGAGCAAATCACCACGTCCGTATAAGAAAATTGGGGGTGACAGGAGCACTCGGAAAAAATTCATGAAATGCATTAAATCGACAGAGGAAATTTCTGCCAAAATTGTAAATCATTTTCCAAACTAACTTTTTAACACCTTTAAAAGTGATTTTTGAGAATCTTTGTTCCATGTGCAAATTCTTAAATGTACTTTCTTGAAGTATTGTAACCTTTTAAAATAAAATGCCAAATGTCCATCAGATATTTCTTTTATAATTTTGAAATACTTTCAAGAAGTATAAACTTATATTTTTAATTTCACTAAATTATTATTTATGCATTTTTTTATTCAATTTGATTCTTACTGTAAAAATCATGTTTTCTCCGCCGATTTAATACATTTCAGTACCAATTTTTCCCAGTGTCAAGCAAGGCAGAGAAAAAAAGCAAATCGAAGAGGCGCCCGCAACAATTGGGTCCTATAAAACTTATATTTTGGTATTGTGGTCCCAGCCACACACACGACTACGTGAATCGCATGCACAATTTGTCAGATCTCTTCTAGTCTTTTGTCGTAGCTCTATTAGAAATGTAAACTTAAAAACTCGAACCGAATGATGGCGAAAGTGTAACTGAAATCCCACAGCACCCAAACGAAAAACAAAACTTGATGAATTTTTCACAGAGCATCCACATTAAACTTTTACACACACGCATGTACTAAGCTAGGATGAAATTTTTACTCATTAGCATATTAATATATTATAGAGATTACAGACAGACGGAAAAGCTTTATCTTTGTCCCAAGCAAAAAGTATTCAACTTGCGGCCAATACATAAATATTTATGAGATAATTTAATGAAGCGGAGGACAAACGAAAATGAAAACGGAAAATGGAAAACAAACTTCTTGAATGGTCCATTTTATAAACGTGCATACAATTTAACCACCGAAAACCGATTACCGATATATATACAAGCGAGAATGTGTACATGGACATAAAGTCGATCCAATTAAACGACTCTTTACCCGGAGGACAAGGCTGAGCTGTCCTGAGTGCCGAGTTTTTCGTGTCGGCCAAGTACTTTATTTTTCAATAACAATTATATACTGCATAATTAAGAGGCGTTTAACGGCGGACAACTGAACAAGGCCAAACAAAATGGCAATGTAAACGAAAATTACGTTCGCCTTATTTCCCAATCGAAATGAGGCATATGGAATAATATTAATTGCCATTATGATATCCATAATTAAATGAGAACATAACCAATTTCGGTCATTTAAAAATAATTTGGAACACAAGCTGATATTCCTAGTGCATTTATTTGTTCAGAGAATAAACTCAAATTCATTTTTGTGATTTTACAAATTATTTGCTGTTTAAGCATCAAAATATTTTACATGAAAACATTTTTGAGTTGAATATAATTTAACGACTTTACCTTGTATTTTCAACAAAGCTTGAGAAACTTATACTTTTACTGTGCAGAACTTTAAAATTGTATTCCATTTTATTTTCAACAAGGGAAATTCCGCCTGTTAATGTTATCAATTGGAGTTTAGCTGCGGTAATCCACTATAAATTACAAAACATATGGTCTATAAACAACGGCAATCACAATAAGGGAAACACGCAAAGCCAATTTGTAAGTCATTAGTAATTTATCATAAAAAAGTATCGAACGTTTTTAAAAAAGCCAGGTGCATAATCAGCTAAATAACAAAGCAAATTACAAACAATTAAAAAACAAAAACCAATGAGATAATGGCATGATACACCAAATAAAGACAGAGAAAAGGTCAACAGGATAAATATTATATTTCAAAAAAGGCAAATAAACAAACAAGCCAGACATAATAATACAGAAATAACATCAGCGGATGAAAGCATGCATAAAGTGAATATTAAATTCAACTAGTATAATGGCAATCGAAAAATAAACAAAACCTACAAAATGCGCAACAAATTTAAACAATATGTTTAAAGAAAACAAAATGCGAATGTCTAACGAAACGAAAAACCAATTTATAAAAATTTTCAAACGAAATTATAAATTTATAAAAGGCCATAAAAGAAGCAATACGAATTTTCCGCATCTCACCTATTTTGTATATACATTTCCATTGAAAATATTCACAATACACGAATAAATGGACTTAAACAAACCAACTGCCATAAAACGCAAAAAACGTTTGCATTTCTTTAAAAGAATCTATATAAACCTTTGAATAATTCTTTCCTCTTTCACGGTCCTTAAAATAAATTAGACATAAATTACGACTTCAACTAAATTTTCGCCAATTGTGTTCAGCGAAATCGAACAACTTAGCATAAAATAATATTACACCCTCAAGCATATCTATGTGCCAAAAACTTAAACCATTAACTATTTGCAATTATGCCGAAATAAAAAAAATAACTAAAAAACTTAAGGTACAACTTGTAGCTAAAATAAATTTTTATCTGATGGAATTTAGATACGTGAAATTTTTCAGAGAAAAACCTAAGCGCAGCAACTCATATTTGTAACTCTTTATCATTAGTAGTTTAGTGTGATAAATGTTAATAAAGAAACCATAAACGAAAGCCCGGCCATTCAATCCGATTCAATTTGTGTCTTGTCTTTGAAAGGCGACCCCAAAAACCGGAAAATGTCGGGTAAGTTGAACATTTTAACCCCAAAATGTGCCAGGATTTGTGTTGGCCACAATAAACTTTTCATTTATTACGTGCTAAAATTTAATAAACAGGTTCAACAGCGGCCCAGTGTGAATGTCATATTTCACTTATTAATTAATGGCATTAACATAAAGCGTCAATTTGTGCGGGCAAAAGCAGACACACGATCCATAAAGAGGCAGCACTCTAAAGCCGGGGCGATTAAAAAGTTTACCCCAGCCAAAGTCAAGACCGACCCTTAATGTTGCATATATTGTGTGCACATAACCCCGGGGTCCCCATTACGGAACGTGCCTAGACTGCAAACAGTCGGCCGGGGAGAATCGGCAGACACATATAGCATATATATGCCATATAGCGCACAGGCCAGCGTCAATGACATGCTCAATTTTTCATGCATTATGCCGTGGAGTCGGGCCACAGTGCGTATGCTTGATATTTGCCTTAATATCGAGCCGAAAGCACATTTAAGTCGCCGAAGCGAGAAAGCCGGAATATTTGCGTAGTAAGCGCTGCCAGGGCGAGAAACTTCACAAGGCCCATAAGACAATTTGCTGCTGGCTTACTTGCTTACACTGAGAAAAAAGTCAGCAAAAGCGGATATTATATCAAGATATCAAAATGTTTAAATCTCTAAAACATTTTTAGTTAGTGGCATTTTTATAAATTTAGAAAATATTTATTATTCAATGCAAGTCCAATGTAATTTAAAAATAATCCGCACTTTATTAATTTAATATACTTTATCCTAAATTCAATTTTAAGCAGAATAAACTAAGTAAGGCACATCATTTTTCATTCTATTATTTTCTGCATTTATCACATTCCTCTCTGGTTTCAAAGTAACTTCCCGTTGTTCTACATCCACCAAGAGGGAAATAACGGCAGGCGTTTCTGATCGGGTAATAATAATACCCCCTGATTAACCTTTTACAAAGCCCTTCCGCTCCACCCGGAATATCACAGCGTGCTAAAAAAAAACAAAATAATCCAATTAAAATCACAGAAAAATTTGTATTCTATGGATAATTACGGTTCCTTTGGCTATGTCCAAAACCAAATAGCGCTAACATTATTAGGGTAATGGAAACTATCTTCATTGGAAAGCGAAATATAAAACTTTTGCCACCGATTGATATAGACCGACTGATCGATAGTGATCATTTGAATGCAATACTTTTCTAATAACTGTGACTTATAGAATTGTGTATGGCAAATTAGGTGAATAAGTGAACAAATGTTTGCAATCGTATTGCAAAAAATATTATATTCAGATATAGTAAAATAAAAAAATATACCAAGAACAACTAGATAATACGCTCGAAGATATTAATTTTTAAATTCATCATTGATATAAAAGTAACTGGTTTTTTCTCGCTGTGTAGGCCGACTCATACATATGCACGCCTAGATACACACACTTACAGCTGGGTTTTGGGGATATAGGCTCAAACTGGGGATGATTTCGTTGCCTTCGGAATTGTGGGCTCGACGCAAACACCGTGCAACGGAAACTATCGTCGTCTATATTGAGGAAATGGTTGGGGCTTTTCGGTCTGGGCATTTCGGGTTACATAACTGATTAAAGATTGGCCTAGCTTATGGAGATATACTCGTACAGATGTGGTAAGAGAGATTGGGCAAGGGCTAACCTCTCGTGTCAACTTGTTGACTAAGCAAAGTCAACCCCATATGAGTTATGATTTACTCAGCTCTTAAACAGGGAAAACAATGATGAGGGGGAATTGCCTTTCAACGCCTCTTATTTATATAATGTTGCCAAACAAAAAATGGTACTTTGTTACTTCATACTGATTCGTTGCTGTCATCTATCAGTATTAACGATCTTTAATAAAAGATTTATTATACAGGACTTGTGTTACTGAAATCATAATTTCCATTCACTTTTTTCTAAGAAATTCTCCAAATTGTTAATGTTTTAAAAAACTATGTTAAATTCCCAACTTTTATCACAAAATCCATACCTTTAGCAATGAAATGGCGCAGAAAGGGCATTAAAACTGTGACACAGATTCCTAAGAGAACTTAAAGGTTATCAATGCCTTAACTAACCACAAAAAGTTTCACCTTGGACATTTCCTCTTCCGCAAAATGAATCTTCAAACGTTTTATATGCGTACTAATGCCATAAAGCAGACCTAAATTCGTGGTTTGCCGTAGCTGTTGTAATTTTGTTATGACTTCTGCCCCTAATTCCCCCCAAAAGTATGCCACAGGAAGGTTCGAAGTAATTTAGTTGAAATGCTGCAGTGGCAGCTCCGGCTTTGTTCTTTCATTTTGTGGAAGATATCTCAAGCAAATTAACCTAACTACTCCTAATGCCGGAGTACTACGCTTCCCCACTCACACACAAAAACCAATTAAATTCTTCCGCAAGGGCACAAAAGCTTCTATTAAAGCTTTCCACAAGATAATAATAGGATTTGCACCCAAACATTTGTATCTCAATTTTGTTATGTGGAGAGGCCATATATTAATATTTTTATAAAAATAAAATAGTTTATTTTCACTTTTATTTGCTTATGCGCAAAAGTTTAAAAAAAATCACCTCGATTTTTTGGTTTTTGGATCAAAACCCTTAGAAATAATGGTCAGATCTTGGAATGTCATACCTCGTTGAATTATTTCAAAAATTCCAATCCATTGGCATTCTCAGCTCAAAAATTTTATTTTGGTCCAGTTTTGTCAAAAAAACATAGTGTTACCCCTTATGAAAAATGCGAAAATCGGTCAAAAACTAAATTTTACCAAATCCACCTAGAATTGATTGTATAGGTTCTCAGCTGCACAAAACAGTCATTCTTTTGGCTGTGCGTCTTTTTTGGACAAAATTACAACAAAAAACGCTTAAAAAGTGTGTCTTAAATATATTGTTTTGATGACCAAAATCCGGAAAAATTATACTCGATTTTTCAGTTTTTTAAGCAAAACCCTTGGAAATAATGGGCAAATCTTAGAATGGCACACCTCGTTGAATTCGTTACAAAATTTAAAATTTACTGGTATTATCAGCAAAAAAAATGTATTTCAGCCCAAATTTCGAAAAAAATCAAGTTTTACCCCTTATGAAAAATGCGAAAATCGGTCAAAAAATAAATTTTACCAAATCAACCTGGAATTGATCTTATTGGCTCTCAGCTGCACAAAACAGTCATTCTTTTGGCTGTTCGTCTTATTTTAGCAAAGTTATAACATTAAAACCTTAAAAAAAATGTGTTTTTCAATACATGTTTTTGATAAACGCCAACCAAAAACAGGTAGATTTTCCGGTTTTTTGATCAGAATCCACGGTTTATACATTTTACATGTTTTTTTCTAAAACCAAATATATGACAAACCCTTTAAATTTTTCTGTCATAAATAAGTAAATACTTCTTTTTCAAATGAAATAACTTTTTGGAAAACAAATATTTTTGAAAATATATCCTAAAACTAATATAAATCCGATACAGATTCAAATACTTAAACTCAAAATTGTATGTTAAATACTGATTTCAAATAATTCGAAGCTAACAATTGTATTCTAAATTAAATGCACATTACAAAAGAAAAAACTTCGAACATGAACTGCAATGAAAGTGTTTTTTTTTTATTTTTCCTTTGTACATTATGTTAGACATGTTTTTGCCTTAAAGCCAGACATGGAAACCGTGTGAAGTCAACTTTTGTGGACGCCTCGAACGCGTTCTAAGTGAAATTTAGCCGTTGGCTACGTGACGATGCTGCTGTTTCTTCTGTTCATTTGGCTTCTGCTCCTGATATAGCTGGACGAGGCATGAGGATAGGGCAACGGCATGTCCTGGCTGACTGTCTGCCTTGTTGACATACGTCGTACGTCCTGCTGCCTTTGTGTCGAGCTGTTATGCGCAAACGCATGCTCTGCTAATATTGCCTACTTCCAGGCGTTTTCATTGTTGCGCTTTTGCAGTCACAGAATCCCCCGAAAAACCCGAAAACATAGCAACCCCCCGAACGCACCAGATGCCGAACATCTGTTTTATGTTTGCCTCGCTTCCAGGAAAACTCTCTTAAATTCGTGTGAAAAACGCGCGCTCTTTCGGTGCGTCGGAAAATGCGAGCTCAGCCTGAGTTTCAGTTCCAGCATCAGCGCCATCGAGTGAGGAGCGTGTTTCGGGGACCGGAAAATCCGTGAGCACTGTCAGGTTACTCAAGCCACGCAGCACACACACACCCCAGCCAAAAAAAAAAGGAGGAAAATCCTGCGAAAAACAGCATACTCTGCGGAATTTAAGAACAATTAACAAGACTTCAGCGAAACTCCGCGGAAAAGCACACAAATTAAAAACGCAGGAAGGCCCCAACAAATTGAATTTCGGGAAAAAACGTAGACTTTGCGTTTTTCCTACGGCTTTTTCCATCGTTTTTTGGGCAGCGCGAATATCGATTGCTGACTGCCTTGCATAAGTCCACGAAGATTAGTATACAAACGCAGTCGAAAGCGTCTGGGAAAGCGATTCAAATGACAACGAACACCAAGCCGTAGTAATTATGTTTTTTAATTATCGGTATTGAAGCTATCATCATGGAGCAGCTGAAGTCAAGGATTTCAAAGGCTGGCCCAGACAATTGACACGAAAAAGAAACAGAAAACAAAAAGAACACGATTTCCTAGGATATATATAGAAGTTGAATTCTCCCGTGTGTGTGTGTGTGTGTGTCTGTGTGTGTGTTTGCCCCTGTTTCGCTTTTCTTTTCTTTTCCATTTTATTTCCTTTGTTGCCGTTTGAAAATGGATATTGCCTTGCGTGGCACAAACACAGCATCATCAACATCAACGACTGGAACTGGTGAGTCCTTGGGAATCCCGGCTCTAAGGCACATAATCACATCTTTTATGTGCCCCATGTTTTATTCTACTTTCGACTGGCAAATGAAACAACTACCATTTCATTTACAGGTCTGCATCATGCTGTGTCATTGGGCAACATTGAGGTCTCCACCAAGGTTCGTACTCATAGAGCACCTCACCAAAACGCAAAACATAAAACACCACAAATTGTGCGGCGAGTAAAATTAATTTCTGTCAGGCGAAAAATTCCGGGAAGGAGATGCTGTCACACCGTATGATTGACACAATTATTTTAGTAGCAATCTGGGGGGCAAAAAAGGACTACTCAGCATGCAAGTGGCTGGAGAAATTAGGGGGCTTAAGATAGGACGGCAGAAACTACGAAAGACATTAAGGGATTATATGGGATTAGCCAAGAATAGAAGGGGAGTAAAAAATCCATTAACTATGTAGTAAGAGAAATAACAACTATGGAATCGGAAAACTTTAAATAAGAATGTTCATGAAACAGGCTAAATATGTTAATTGGAAGTGAAAAGAGATTAAGGAAAAATTCACATTGAATATTTGAATTTATTTCGTAGCAAATAAATTTTCATTAAAAAATAGCAAGGTTTATCCATTACGTATACGTGATATTTAAGCAATGTTTATGCATAACGTATACGTGATATTTTAGCAATGTTTATACATAACGTATACGTGATATTTTTTATACCAAAAACATACGAATATTTTAAATGTTTAAATATCGCACTCAAATATTTTCATTTAATGTGCACAAATACTATTACAATTCTATTATCTAAACATATACATATTTAAATATTATTTTATATAGGTGTCTACAAGTCGTATACGTAATTTGAAAACTAAAACATTTAAGTAGACAAACAATTTTAAGCACGTATATCACAGTTTCATTATGTTTTATACATGGTCATTATTAAACACTTATTAAATCCAAATTAAGTATACGACAGGTTGTACATACATTCATTTTTACATTGAAAATACAGTAAACATTTAACATCATTTATTCATAGTTCTCTAAGCAAAAAAGAACACTAAATTGAATTGGACTGTTTGATGATATATAACCCTCAGACCACCTACTCTAGCCACATGGACCGCAGTTACGACTCCGAAGACGAACACACTGGTCGCCGAAGACTTCGGCACACACTCTCCACGGAGCTACAGCCTCGCACTTCAGTCTACTCACGCGGAGATATTAGGGAACAGGTGAATTAAATATGGTATTACACATCTGCACTTGAATTAACATGTATACTTTTAGTACTGCCTCACAGATCGCCAGCTGCACAGCATAGAGCAGCGTCCTAGGCGGGAACGATTTTTTGGCTGCCTTTCGCGACGGGGTCAAACGCAATCGGGCAGTTTTTTGGGCGGCTGCGTGGGTCGCCGAGTGCCCTCCGATGAGAATCTGGCCGCCTATGCTCCATTTGAAAAGTATCCACGGTGGGTAGAAACTAGAATCATACAAGTAGTGGTACCACAAATGTCTTTCCCAAAGGAGAGTGGAATTTAAAATACTTAGTCTTAAGTTTTATATGTATATACTCTAGACTAATTCATAATTTCGTATTTTGTAGCTACCAAAACAGCTACACAGACACACACGAATTGGAAAGTTCCTATTTTCGCCGTCAGCCGGCTTCGATTTTGAGCACTGGTAAATCGAGTGAATCGGATCTGGGTGGCCGCTACACCTGGATTGGTCAGCAGCAGGTGACCAACAACAACGCCGACTACCAGTCGGACCACAGGTATGAAATGCCCGAAAAGCAGATCGAAATCGAAACAAAAACAGATAACCAAGAACCAAAAAAATACCCAAATTAAACCGTAAAATGCTATGCCAACTGTCGCTTAGATCATGCTTTACTGTCGCACTATCTGTAGTCACTAACTCTGTCGCTCGCTATCCCCAATTCTCCCTATACGGATATATATATTGTTTTGTATATATATGAAAAACGCTTGCAATGCTTGCCTTAACTTTCCACCCAAGAACAACGCTTTCCGACTCATCCATTTGCATTATGCCGCTTTTTGCCTCCAACAAGTTTTTCTCAATCACTCGAAAACCACTGATAAACCACCTACTAGAAATGCTGTATAAAAATACTTTTCGTGTACTCTTTCGTTATTCATCCACCTGTCCTTCTCTCCTCAAAACCAAACAAAAACGACTGTAAAAATCAACCAAAATTTATCAATTGATATTGCCAAAATCAAAACCCCACCAAAATACTAAATGAAATGATCAAAATGTGTAAAGGGCAACTTGTTGTACAGCACCACTTGAATCCTTTTACCAGGATGTTTTGCTACGGAATTATTATGTCGAGCTTTGCGCTCCACCAAATCCTACACCACCAACATCACACACCAATCAAATCGCTAATCTAAATGTTTGGTATGTAAAGTGATCTAAAATCTAACAAAATACTTAAATAAGATATATATGCAAGAAGCTGCAAAAAACTCTATTAAAAACAGTGCGCTAATCAAAAATGTTTATTTATTGTTATGTGTCTGCACGTGACCAAAGCAAAAAACGAAAAAAAAAAACTAGTAAAACTTAAATTAAATGAATTAAATTAAAGAAAATGCTTGTGTGTTACCTAAAACTGTTGCTAGGGAAATTTGGTTAATAGTCTGCTAATGTGCTTACTCCACAGCTCGTATCACTGCCCCACATACGCCACGATGCCCACCACCCATCACCAGCACCACCACCAACAGCAGGGCGGGAATGTGAGGTAAGTCCAAGGGGTAATCCCCTCCAGAAATCCTCTGTCACGTACTTCTTTATGCAGAACCAAACACGTGAGCTTCGCCAGGTCCCACACACTCACCAGTTTCGACAATGTGAATGCCGGATTTCGATCCTCGGGGCGATTGAAAACCGCCCGAAGTCAGGAGCGTTTAATTGGGGGCAAGAAGCCCATCATTGCCACGGGTTCCATGTACGAGACCCTCCAGCCACCGCTCCCAGGTCAGCAGCAACAACAACAGCAGATGCAACCACAACAAAGCTCCACTCTGCCGAAAACCTGGCTGCCACCACCAGTTCAACTGCAACCCTGCCAGCATCATCATGCCCCAATCCACCTGCACCAGCCCATTCCAGGTGAGAAATTACCTAATTAATTGCCAGGAGGTTCATTTGGGTTGAGGCTATCACTAAGCAGATTAGGTCTTCCCATTCAGATTGCATATCTACACAAATAGCTTAGGCTCATAAGCTCATTCTAGATATATTGCTTACTTTATTTATTTAAATAACTTGAGTTATAGGAAGAAAGGGTCTTAAACAACAGAATAGGTATAGGTATAGGTACTATAGATATTTATACAAATAAAGAATAGAGGCGTTCTTGCTTGACTTTTTAAATTGAGGAGTATATGTATAGACTATTGAATTATTAACTCCTTTACAACCATCTCTGTTTTAAGACAATATGGTTGGCCTGATCATACCACAGCCCCTGCCTTTGGCTCTTCCACTGCCCAGTCCCGAAGTTCTGATCGTGGAGAAGAAGTTCCGCAATGCCATGAAGACGCAGGCCACCCAAACGGATGCAGCTGCTCGACGTCAGGGTCAAGGTCAAGTCGGCTATAATACCCAAGTCCTGGCCCTAAGTCCTCGTCCACCGCATCGGATTAAGGTGGTTTCCCAGGGGGCTCAAACCAATGGCCTGCAGAATGGCAAGAAGCTAACGAAAAGCCTTTCCGAAATACCCAATGGCAAGGAAGTGCCATCACGTCACTATCAACAGGGGTAAGTTTTATTTGAGTTATAATTGATAATTTATAAATGTTGAATTTAATACCTATTATAAATGCCAACGTTTCGGTTTGTAATACAAATCATTCCTTGCTTTTAATCAATTAATTTTTAAACAAATGGCCTAAACCTATTTGTTCAGGCTCTTAATTCTACTCTTATCTGCAATGTATGACATTTATATGTTGGTTTAAGGCAAATTAAAGTTTTCTTATCTTTATATCAATTTAAATGGTCATATAACTCATCTTTGACTATCTTAAATTGTTTTTCTGTTTGTTAAAAAACAATGAAATATTAATCTTTTGATCAGAGAGTAATATTTGAATCTCATTCCACCCACAGATCCATTTACTCCCACGAGATGATCTACCGCACCCAGTCGCAGGATGTGGTACCCTTGCAGACCCTCTCCGATGCCCAGAACAACATCATGTACTACAAACCGCCTCCACCGTTGCTGGATGCCCATAGTTGCGGACTGGGAATGGAGCACCTGAGCAGGACTCGTCCTTCGCCATCTGAACAGAATGTGGAGTATGTGAATGTGAATGCCGCCGCGGTGGCCCTAAACGAAAGTTTCGACTACGAGAGCAACAGTTTGCCTCGACGAGCGTGTACCTCGCACACGGACTACTATTCGAATAGTTTACCCAGGCGACAGGATGTGTGCAAGCATGTTACTGAGTGCTCGGAACTCATGGCCGATAATGTGCCCCTGGACTTTAGCCAATCGCATTTATTGCCACCGCCAAGTGAGTACTGCAAGAACGACGACGAGGATGTGGAGGAGTACTACGAGGAGGAGGACGACCATCCCCATGAAACGGAGAGCTACAGCTCGGAGGTCTGCATGGAGCAGGCTGCCCAACATCGCCGCATGTCCATGCTGCCCCAGATGATTGACTCCCCATTTCGTCGCGATGATCTGAGGCGTCAATCCATGCCGGTTTATGGCCAAACGGAGAAGCTCATCGATGGCTTCGGACCGAGGACTTCTTTTCGAAGACGCGACAAGGTCAGCTGCTTTCCGGATGAACCGCCCGCTGCCCCAGATCGAGATGAGCAGGAGATATTTATAGACTTTAAGCCACACATCTCGCCAAAGCCGAGTCCCAAGTTGCAACTGAAGCACCGCAAGCAACACAAGGCGGAAATTGCCATGAAAAAGATGCAGCAGCAGAGAATGGCCCAAGCGGCAGCTTTAACCCTGCCAAAACCGAAGCCACAGCCAGTCGAAGTTGAGGTCAGAAAAGTTGAACTTGAGCCCAGCGATGAGGAAGAGGACGAGGACGATGTTTCCGAGCCCGAGGAGGAGGACGAGGAGGAGGTGGACGAGGATGAGCAGAAGCTGGAGACGGATCATCAGGAGGACGAGGAACCGCTCTACGAGAACATAACCCCTTGCGGTTGCCGCGTGGATCCGCAACCGCATTTGGAGGACATCCAGGACAAGCGCTCTCAGTTCCGCAAGCGTTCGGTCAGCTTGGATGACGACTACGAGGCCAAGGCCTCGGGAACTCCCACTCCTGGCCTCCGACTGCCATCCACTCCGGCGAGTCCTTCCCGCGATGAGCTGCTGGCCAATGTCTCAACTTATCCCTCCTCAGACTCGCTGGCCAACGACAATACACGCGATCATTCCGATGGCATTTGGAATGAGTCACAGGTCACTGTCTTGACGGCTGAACAGCGCGATATATCCGATGGCTCGTATAGCTCCAATTTGCTATTGACTCCTTCCTCGAAAAGGAAGAATCTACTGCTGCAGCACCAGCAGAGAAGCTCGGTGGACACCGATGCCCTGGATTTCGAAGAACAAGTGGGTATATCAAGCACATACTGTGGTAGTATACTAAATAATCTATATTTCAGAGCCCCACCTATGGCCTACAAACACTGCCGAAGATCATCAAGACCCCCACACCAACCGCATCCAGGCCTCCTTCCACTCAACCCTTGATGCCACCGCCAGCCATCGCGGTGACCCCATCCTCGAACCAGGTTCTGGACACCTCCATAAGTTCACCACTGCCCAAGAGGATCATGGTGGCCAGGGGATCGGTCCCGGACGCCCGACAACTCATGTTTATGGGAGGAGCTGCCAAGCAAAGGTTACTATAAAGTCATTTTTTTTTTTTTTATAAAAGTAAATAAGTGTATCTTTATTGCAAAACTTAACAGGTATACTGCTACCTATGTGGCAGCTTGAGCAGGTTGTATATATAGGGGATAACAACTTTTAGGTATAACAGATTATATGAGATAAATATTTAATTTCTATTTTAATTCCTTTGAGATTTTAAATATTATATGAGTCTAGATGGGAACTACTATAAAGTCAAGGGGGGATTATTAACCAGGTTTAAGATATATTTCTTTTTTCCCCAAAAGTATGCTTTAAGGTTTATTAATGTTTGTTCCTCCGCTATAATATCAAATCATGACTCCAACTACAGAACAAGGCCTCTATCGCACATAAAATTTAAAGACAGCATACTAGGCTTAATTGGTATAAATGATTTAGAGCTTTAAATTCTAAAAATCCTTTCAAAGACTGTTAATTTCACTGTGTAAAAAGTGTATTTAGAAAAGTCTTTATTTAACATATTTCAAAAATGGCCAATGTTATACAAGTATTTTACGCTATCCATTCTATTATAACACAGCTTCACTTTAAATTCAATATAAGTGATATATTAGTTAGCATATGATTTTAGTATTACTATGCCTTTGTCTTACTAGTATGCTTACCCTAGCTTCATCTCATTGGGATTTAATGATCTTGAAATCAATAATGAATTATTATATAATTGTTATTTAATTCCCTTTCACAGGCACTCGGATGCCTCTTTCCTGCCAATGGGCGCCACCGATTACGCCCGGAGTGCGGATATTTCGGAGTGCAGCACGAATACAGATGAGTATGCCACCTGCACGGACACCTCGAAGCGCACACCAGGTATTAAGACTCCGCCGACGACGACCAGTTCCTCGTCGACCACACAAGTGCCAGGTTTGGGCCCCCCGATACGTACTGTGTGTGTGTTCCTGTCTGTGTGTAGAACTCGTACCAACCATATGCTGTACCCACGTCTTGATCCATGAATGAGTGTCACCAAATCGAACAGAACTGTGTGTTTTTGTGGCCACCACTCCACCACCATTGCCCCAAAACCACCGTATACTCTCACCGCTGTCATGCTTACCGCCCTAGTGTTAAACAGCCTAAATAGCTTATAGACCGTAGACTCATCTACCTCACCTCAACTCTGTCTGTCTAACTCTCTCTCACTATCTCGCCTCCCTAGTTTTAATGTTGTTACTGCCTGATGAAATGTCTTGCCCGCATTGCTTTAGCTGTACTTATTAGCCCGGTTATTAGGGAACCTCTACTTTACTAACCATTGGGGAAACCCTTTTTATTTGACAGTTTCCACGCAAAGTTCGCAGTTGGAGAAGACACATGCCGGGAGTTCCTTCGAAAGCGCCAGTTCGCTGTACTCCATGAGGGAGGATCTCCTGCAGCACGACGAGAAGCAGGCCACGCTGACCAAGTCCCAGTTGAAATCCCCCATTGGTTCGGTGGCGGAGTTGACCAGGAAGTCGCCCTCGCACTCCATTAGTAGCACCACCTCTTCCGGCAGTTGTCCTGTCTCGGGAGCAGCCATCAAATCTCCGGCCAAGGAAAGTCAGCCACAGACGGTGGCCAGTTCGGGAACCACTCAAGTGAAAGTCAGTTCGGCGGAGAGTGCACCTCCAGGGCCAAAGCCCAAACCCGATTCCATTTCGGAAGATGAACGCAGCGAGGTGCGGTATTCCTCCTCTGGTTATTACGAAAGTCCGCACGACGAGGACGACGAAGAGCAGGGAATGCGAAGCAAAGCCCGTCGCATTCGGCAGGAAGATGAAAGGAAGAGGCGCAAAACCAGCATGAAACTGGACATCGAAAAGGAGAACATGCGGGCCCTCACCAGTCCCATTAAGAAGCCCACGGGATCGAGCAAGGTCACTTCACCGGAACAGCAGATCGCAGGATCCTTGGACAATGGCAGCAGTCCCAGCAAGATGAAACGCTTTCGTCCTAAGATTCGACGGCAGTTAAGGAAAAGTTCGCGGGAGGATGTCCTGGCGGCGGCAGCGGGGCGAAGGAGTCGTGCCACGCCCACTATCTTCGGCCTGAGCAGCGGCAGTGGCGACACCGAGTTGCTACTAGATGCCAGCATGGCAAGTGGCACTACAAGCACCGTTCTGGCAGGACCCTGCACCACCACAACCTCAATATCCTTGCCCTCATCGACATCGAAGGTAACTACTTCGGAGTCCTTAGTGATCACACAAACAGAGGCTGTAGTTGTTCCATTGACGGTGAAGAAACCACACAGCTGTGCCACGCCCACCTCACTGCTCTCCCCCAAACTGCCCACCATCAGCAGCACGCAGTCGAAATCCACTTCGGACACCTTTCAACTGAAAGCCAAGTCCATCGAGTCCCTGCGCTCGGTGTCGCCAGGATCCGATTCGGTTTTCTACAGCGAAGCCGATGGAAATGCAGCCAGTGGCGAGCAGAGCCACTGCCTCCATTGTGGCAAGGAAATGGAGGGCAAGCAGCAGAGCAACACCATCAGCGAACTGGCTGGCGACTCGGTGGAGTCGATACCCTACATCGAGCAGGACATCGTCAAGCCGCCGTCGGACTTTGCCGACTCCCCAGTGACCACCAAGACCACCCAGCGTCTCTACAAGAAGATGGACAAGCGGTTCCGCTCCGAGGAGCGATACCACGGCGAAAGGGGCAGGCACTACAAGACCAGGCAGGAGAACATCAGGGCAAAGGTACATATCAGTACTGGGATATATCTCTAGGTTCCAAGGAGGTTTTTGTATCTCCCCAGAATGTAATAATAATTATTGTTATTATTACTATTTTAGTTTATTATATTAAGCTGAAGCTTTGAATAATAATGCACCGAGAATCTCTTTCGGTTCCAAGAAGATTTTTCTAACTCTCCCGAATATAAAATTATTTATTACTAACATTAATATTAACTATTTTATTTTATTATATTTATCTGAAGCTTTTGATAATAATGGCTTACTTTACTTTATAGAGCGAAGAACGTGGCCGCGCTCCCAGTTTGCCCAATACCCCGGTATTGCGTCCTGCTGGATCTAGTCCTTGTGTCCTGCCAAATATCAACACTGAACAGAGCCAGCACATCATCTACAAAGGTCACTACGACGCAGGACGCTACACTCGACTGACCGATGATGACTTGTGGACTCAGTTGGACCATCAGTGTTTTGGTGGGTAATAAATATTTATTAACATGCCACCAAACAATTAACTCTATATAAAAAACATCAATTTTAATATTTGTGGTTTTTTCTATAAGACAGACCTTTTAAAACTGAATAGACTTATATCAATTTCAAATTTCCAAAAACTAAATATATTTCACACCCCTTTAAAAAAAGATACAAAAAATCCAATTTTCAATTTTGATACTTGGATATGTCATGGGTCTCGAGGATCGTAAGTTTTAAATGTTAAGAAAATGTTTAAGGCTAATAATCATCTTTCTAGCTATTTGCGGTCCAAAGCCAAGAGTCTATAAATGTATATTGCCTCCTTATCAAGATTCTGTATTTTATTATTATGATGAAAAAATAAACCATTTATATATAAGCTAAAAAAAAAGTTGAAAAGTTGGTTAGAAAATTCGCAACGAATGCGATTTGCCAGAGGACTTGCCAGTTGTAGATATCCCATATTTTAAATAAATAGGATTTAAAAAGTACAAGTCTAGCTTTTCTTATTGACAAAATAAAAAGCTTTGGAGTATATAGCTTACATTGATACTAATTTGAATTTCTCTATTTTTACAGATCGTTCCAAGGAACGTCGAGCTTCCACGGAGTCGGAGAAAGGCTTCCATGCCAAATATCAAGTGATCTTGCATCGCCTCGTCCAGCGCCGTTGTACCCTGGAAATGTACCATCGCCAGAAACACAACAGCTTTCGTAAGTCCAACGCACTTTGGAACACCCTGTTCGAACACCCAAACAATATTCTAATTTCGGCACAACGTGCTCGCGTTTTTGCTGAGAAATAGAGAGAAAATTGGGAGAACTTTAGAGATAATGGAAAGCGTGGCGCTCCGAATTTTCATGACCGGCACTTGGCATACATAGCTATGTGTGTAGGAACGATCAGACAGAACCGAAAGCAAAAAAACAACCCATAGTTTTTTGGCTCTATTATCGAGAATAGTTGAGGTGCGTGCTTTGTTGTGTGCCGACCATAAAAAATCAGCAACGCGTCCCGTTCGGTACTTCGGTTTAAACCAAATGTAAAGAAATAAGTGCGAAAAGTTTTAGGAATATTTTTGTGGTATTTACACAATACTCAGGCCAAATGATTGGTGGGTAAACAATAAAAATCAAACGTCGCCGTTAAGGGTTTTCATTTACTTTTCGGTTTTAATTTTTTTTTGGTTTTTTTGCATAACACTACACAGAATTAATAGCATCCAATTCCACGCCGGATTCGATTCGACGAAAGTTGGAGGAGGTCTTGAAATTAATGCTCTTGGTCTGGGCACGCGAAAGTTTTGTGATATCCACACTTAGCAATGGTGCACATGGTAAATGATGTCCGGACGAAATCCGGAAATAAAATAACACAAATCACTTAAATCTCTCTCTGTCTCTCTATAAATAATTTCCCAAGTCGACACTTGAAGAAAAAGTTGGGAAAACAATTGTATTTTGATTTTGATTATATTAGTTTTGCTTTACTTTACTTTACAAATAATTATTCAAAAATCTTGAATTAAGAGGTCGTTCTTAAAAACGCAACTAAAAATCTTTCATTTAAAAACATATAATATTAACATTTAAAAATTTTAAATTATATATATATATTATTATATTATATTATTATTATATTATATTATATAATAATTAAATTGTCGATTTGTCAGCTTCTTTATGCTGTATTGTAACTTAAATTCATTTAACTAGCTCTCGAAATTGACATACAATATTTCTCTTAAGTGTACACCACATTGTAATATTTATTCTATCTTTTAGGAGTGGATAAAACCGTGGTGGTCAAGAGCGATTCCGGTGAATTTGGCTTCCGTATACACGGCTCCAAACCCGTGGTAGTGGCTGCCATCGAACCGGAGACTCCGGCGGAGAGTTCCGGCCTGGAGGTGGGCGACATCATCATCTCCGTGAATGGCGTCCAAGTGCTGGACAAACATCACACCGAGGTCGTCAAGATAGCACACGATGGCTGCGAAAAACTGGAGCTTCAGGTGGCTCGCACCATTGGAGTTCTGATGCACGAGCAACTGGAGCCACCAAGTCAACCCATCTTTAGTGGCTATTTGTGGCGACAGAGTGGTCAGGCCAAGGGAGCTCCGAACTCCAAGAAATGGGTGCGACGTTGGTTCTCCCTGAGACCCGATAATTGCCTCTACTACTACAAAACTGAAGATGTGAGTGTAATTTTCTTGATTTGGGTTTATTCACATTCACAAAACTAAAGGTGTGCTTAAATTTAAATTTAAGTTATACAAAAAACATTCACATTTTAAATGTTTTTGGTTTTTATGAGATAATTTATAATAGGTATAATGAAACATTGGAAATCTTGTATTTATTTTTCAGTAATATTTTCCAAAACTTAATGGTTAGGCTTAGATTTCATTAGCTGGATTTTATTTGAATCAATCGAAAAACAATTAATTTCTCTTAAAAACTCTTGACACATGATACTGTTTTGAAAACCTAATTATTTCCATTCTAATTAAATCTAAATCAAGATATTAAATTTTAATTTCCTTGGTTTTTGTGGCTAAATACATTGTATTTGTTTGAGTGACAAAGCATTTTCTTAGTTTTTGACAGTCTAATATTGTGATTTCTTAATTTCCCAGGACTCCCAGCCCGTTGGCGCCATGATAATGGCCAAGCACACGGTGGACCTGTGTCCTGTGGACGTGGGCAAGCCCTTTGCCTTCAAAGTGGATGCCGGCGAGGGAATTCCCATGTACGTGGCTGCCGATTCCGATGAGTTGGCTAACAGGTGGCTTCAACTGCTGAGACAAGCGGCCTCGCAGGACAACCAGTGGCTGGACAAAAGGTTGGGGGACATTGATCTTGGAGACGGCTGGCTTACTGATCCATTCTCTCACATCACTTCCCTCACAGCGCGCGGTGCCTGTACCAGAGTCCCACCAACATTCAGAGGCCCGACTGCTTCGGCTACCTCCTCAAATTGGGCTCAAGGTGGTGCGGATGGTCGAAACGCTATTGCGTTCTTAAGGATGCCTGCCTCTATTTTTACCAAGATGCAAATAGCAAGAGTGCATTCGGTGAGTCAACTCAATGTGGTGCCTAAAAAAGAGAGATTGACAAAAAACAGGTGACTGACTGGCCAGCAATTAATGCAATTTCTCTATTTAGGCATGACCTGCTTGCACGGCTACAAAGTGGCCTCAATGTCCGCGAATGCATCCGGCAAGAAGAACTCGTTCGAGATAATACCACCAGAAACCAAATTGCGTCATTATTTTTTCTGCACCGAAAGCGAAATGGATAAGAAACGGTAGGTATCTTTACAGATGCGCAAATAAATAGGTCAAGCTCTTTCTGCCACAAAAAATATTGCACTTAAGCCGATTCCAAAAGACTTGTGATTAGATCCTCTAAAAATCTGAATTCAAAATTTTTAATTTAGCGTTGATCAAATTTTTGACCCATTTTCATGTTAGTTATTTTCTAATTTTCCGATGTTTTGTAAAAGAGTGACTCAAAATTGGACTTCGAGAGTCTATAACTTTACCAAACTTAAACCGATTCCAAAGTGGCATACCTCTAATGACTCGTGATTGAATTCTTTAAAAATCTGCATTCAAAATTTTCAATTTAACGTTGGTCGAATTTTTGACCCATTTTCATGTTAGTTATTTTCTAGTTTTCCGATGTTTTGTAAAAGAGTGAGTCAAAATTGGACTTCGAGAGTCCATAACTTTACCAAACTTAAACCGATTCCAAAGTGGCATACCTCTAAAGACTCGTGATTAGATTCTCTAAAAATCTGCATTTAAAATTTTTAATTTAACGTTGGTCGAATTTTTGACCCATTTTCATGTTAGTTATTTTCTAATTTTCCGATGTTTTGTAAAAGAGTGACTCAAAATTGGACTTCGAGAGTCCATAACATACCTTGGCATACCTCTAAAGACTCGTGATTGGATTCTCTAAAAATCTGCATTCAAAATTTTCAATTTAACGTTGGTCGAATTTTTGACCCATTTTCATGTTAGTTATTTTCTAGTTTTCCGATGTTTTGTAAAAGAGTGACTCAAAATTGGACTTCGAGAGTCCATAACTTTACCAAACTTAAACCGATTCCAAAGTGGCATACCTCTAAATGACCCATTTTCATGTTAGTTATTTTCTAGTTTTCCGATGTTTTGTAAAAGAGTGAGTCAAAATTGGACTTCGAGAGTCCATAACTTTACCAAACTTAAACCGATTCCAAAGTGGCATACCTCTAAATGACCCATTTTCATGTTAGTTATTTTCTAATTTTCCGATGTTTTGTAAAAGAGTGAGTCAAAATTGGACTTCGAGAGTCCATAACTTTACCAAACTTAAACCGATTCCAAAGTGGCATACCTCTAAAGACTCGTGATTAGATTCTCTAAAAATCTGCATTTAAAATTTTTAATTTAACGTTGGTCGAATTTTTGACCCATTTTCATGTTAGTTATTTTCTAATTTTCCGATGTTTTGTAAAAGAGTGACTCAAAATTGGACTTCGAGAGTCCATAACATACCTTGGCATACCTCTAAAGACTCGTGATTGGATTCTCTAAAAATCTGCATTCAAAATTTTCAATTTAACGTTGGTCGAATTTTTGACCCATTTTCATGTTAGTTATTTTCTAGTTTTCCGATGTTTTGTAAAAGAGTGACTCAAAATTGGACTTCGAGAGTCCATAACTTTACCAAACTTAAACCGATTCCAAAGTGGCATACCTCTAAAGACTCGTGATTAGATTCTCTAAAAATCTGCATTTAAAATTTTTAATTTAGCATTTTATTTCTAATTTTCCGATGTCGTGCAAAAGAGTGACTTAAATTGGACTTCGAGAGTCCATAGTTTAAACATTTTATAAAAGGTAGTCTCAATAAATGTTGTCTAATTAAATATTTTTTTACGACTTAATTTTAAGCACTTTTGTAATTCATTTTAACTTTTATCTTATGTTAATTTAATGACCACAGCCCCTAAAAACAAAAAATATATTTTCTACTCTTGAAGACACTTGAATGTTATGGCTTACTTTAATCGTATTTATTACCACTTTTTTGCAGCTGGATATCCGCCTTGGAATACTCCATTGACCGCTGGATAAAGTCCGGGTAACTAAGGTTAAAGACACGCTCCAGATCGGCTCTGAGCAGCCGGCTCAAGCGTCGCAGTTTTAGCTACTTGATGGATTAGGCGGGACGATTTGATCTGTTCGACACTAGTACGGGTACTACCAACAACACTTAGAACTTAAGCCAAGCAAACCAATTAGATTTAGGCATAGGCGATTGCTTAGTCCAAGGAATTTAGTCGGTCATTCAAGTCGGGTTTAAAACTATTTTGAACAAAGCGTACATACACAAATATATACACATATAGAGGAATACGATTGAACATTTTTGGTGTGTATTCTTGTTATATAGCTTACAACAAATGGCATATATATATATATACAAAACTTATGTTTAGAGAGGTTGTCTTGTCACTTATATACATAGAATTTATTTAGCCACAAAAAGAGAGAGAAACGATCGTACAGCAGACCAAATTGATTGTCTAATGTATATAGAATTCGGCTAGGATAAATCCAAATTGAAATGATTAGGTATTCAAGGGCTCAAATCCAGGCAAGGCAAGGCAAATGGTTTTTAGATAAATGTCTATTTACAGAAAGGGTAACACAGAATACAAAAATAACTCAAGCGAGACCAAAATTCGAAATTATCAGAGTGTAACAGTTCGAAAAATCATTATCGAAGGCCGAGATAAGTTTCCCATTTTCAATAGCTGCTTCCATCAAACAAAATAAAAACAACATTATGTGAATAATTAACAACGGTTTTCGTCCTTATTGGAAACGATTATTAGTTAGACACGATTACGATGTAAGCCAGAATTAGTTAGCTTTTTTGATAGGTTGGATTTTTTAGGGATCATACTCACAAAAAACACACATCAACGTTCACAGTAGATCAAACAATAATAAAATAGAGATTAATTCGGAATCCAGTAGTTACTTTGTCATATAAAGATATGATCTTTAAAATGCTGATTTCCTGTTTTTTTGGGTCAGTGTTCAAATACCGAGATTGAGTGAGGATGCAACAATTTTGAAGCTTCTTTTTTGTTTCTATTAAGACGGTAGCGAATATAAATATATATATATTTTATATATTTTAAATAGAGATTTCCAATTCGGCGAGGCGAAAAAAAAAAGTTAGATATTTAATGTATGCATTATATTGATTGTATGATATACAAAAGAGAGAGCCATTTTATGTTGTAAGTGGAAAACAAGATAGCAAAAACAAAAGAAAACTAAATAAGAGCTTTAATTATTAAATAAAGAATATACCGAGAACAAATGACAAAAGTGTTTCTTGCTGACAGCCCAGGGGCATTGAAATGCATCTAAACATCATTAATTTGGCTCAACGATCCGATTCCAAATCGGATTCAATCCAGGCCCAGCCAAAAAAAAAAAACACCAGCTACCTGCTGAGGCCAACGAAGCATTTCAAATGCGATCAATGAACCTGTTGCTTTTGGCCCTCTAGCTCCAAACTACCAGCTGAACTCTGAGTTGGCCACATGTTTTACACAAATTTCAAGTAATTTATTTTAAAATCGTAAAGCGATGCAAAATATGCAAGGAGGGAAACGACATCAGCCGCCGCGCACTCCGAAAAATCTCTGTAAAGTCTAGAAAATTGCAGATATTTTCGAAGGTGTAAGGTAAGTTTCCTTTTATTTCAGCCATACACATTATAAAAAGTAAATGATAAAAATATTGATAATTAATCTAATAAAATACTTGATATAGAAAGAATATATTAATATGATTTTACGATGCAGCTATAGTGCTTTTCTGTCTTCAACCACTTAATATTTTAGAAAAATTAAAAATTTGTAATCGGAGACTTAATGTTTTTTATATTGAATTTTTCTAGGCACTGCTATTTTCTAAGTGCAGCAACAGCAACACTTGTTGATGGGGGAAGTCGACGACTAGCATAACAATTCGCTCGCCCTATGAGGCAGCTACCGTTTTTCCCTCTTCTCTTTTCTACCACTTATTTCTTCTGGTCTTCTGGCTGCCGCTTTGTATCTCCATTTACTGTTTTTGCAGTGGCAACAGCCACAATTTAGTTCCACTGTGCAGCACCTTAATTACATGGCTCCGGCTCTCTTTTGTTGGGCACTTTTCGGGTTTTCTTTTTCGGCATCTCGGGATCATTACGACCATGATCATCATCGCGGCCAAAACGTAACTCCCTCTCCTTTTGGACCCTGACTGATCTTTTTTGGACTTGCTTTTTAGTTTCCTTCTCTCCTTTTACCACTTGACCGCATTGATGCTGGTTCGGGAGAAGACGTTGCCAGATTGTTGGACCTGGAATTCCTTAAATAACAAGGCCCATAGGTAGTTTTGTGTAATTACAATTTTTTTATGTCTTAAGTCAGAGACTATGGCTTCTATCATAAACACTAATTACTATGAATAAAAGTCAGTCTGGCGATAGCTTTATCGCTAAGACCATTATTAATTTACAACCATTTTCATAAAAGAAATTTATGATTTGGCTGCTGAAATTGGTATATTTTCCAATTAGTCATCGTTGATTTGCAATTTGGAAATAAATGCTTTAGAAAATATACATACTTGAGGAAGTCAATTTTATGACATATTTAGTATCAAAAATTTAATCCAATATTTACTTATCAGAAGCACAATCGATGCAGTGTATAAACATATTATATGATACGGCTTATTTCACTCCAAAATGGGTAACTAATGCCGCTTGAAAACCCTTCCTCCGAAGAAACCTAATCGTCTTACCTCCCTAAAAATGCGATTCCGATTAGTCATTTCCCTAAACGAAACCGCAACACTAACCGAAGAACGAAATACACCCCCACTAAAAATGCATAACCATAAACAGGGGACTACCAGAGTTACACCCTCCAGTTCCAGTACCAGTGCCCGAACCCACCTCCTCCTCCTTCGGGGGAAACCACCATAACGATCCATGGGCGGCAGCGGCAATCTGGCAACACCCGGGCAATTTTTACCCTACCCTCTCGACCGGGCCGAAAAAAACAGTCGGTGGTAGTCGGTAGTCGGACGGTAAACAGGTAGCGCTCTAACTGACAATAACTCGTCGTACGAATGCACGTTCCACGCTCCGCCAGTGCCAGTCTCTATATAAGTCCGTCCTCAAGTCCGCCCGTCCATTTGGCAGCGTGCGACTGGCGGTCGGTTGGGTTGAGTTCGGTTCAATTCCTCTCCTGCACTGCGAGAAATTTGCCATTTTCATAGTTAAAACCTTAATTAATTTAAAGAAGCAGGGGAAACAAGGGAGCAAATTGTAGGTTTACTTATCAGAATCGAAATAAATGAAGTTGATCAGGTGCATACCATATACACACAACATTTTTTTGTTATTTTTTTTGTTATATCAATTATATATATTAGTTTTGATGTTTAAAGTATTTTTAATATTTTCACTTAGTGTCATTAGTGAAATTAGTTTATTATCTATACTTATTCGAATATTTTATATGTTTTTAAATATCCAGAATATTTTTCCTGTGCACTAAGCAGGTTTTCCTGCTCCCGCTCGCTACTCGTTGGCTGTCGCCCTCTCCCTCTCCGTATCTCAGCCCGTCTCTCTCGATTCTCTCTGTCTCCGGCTCACTCTTTCTCCATTCGGGCCCTGTTCCCCAGTTCGTGGCTCAGTCTTCGAGTGTTGATCGTGGCTAACGCACCTGCGCGCGGATCGTGGGCCATAGGAAAAGTGAACTGCATTGTGAGTGCCTCTCGCTCTATATCTATCTGTATCTTTGGCCGCTGTATCTTTTTCTCGCTTATTGAGCGGGCCCCGTGTGGCAGTGTGTGTGTGTGAGTGAACTTGTTGCATCGCTAGTTGCCTCGAGAAAAGCGCTTTTCAACTGCAACTGACTCTGCTCTGTGTGTGGGAAGAGTTTGGGACTACTTGAGGAGCGAATTGGTAGCTGCACTGGCTTCAGCTCCTATTTCAAACAAAATGTAGAAAAACACATTTCAGCTGCCGTGTATCTCTCGTTCTCGTTCGGTTTTTAGTTCGCTGAGGTTTCGGTTCGGGTTTTTTCCTTCGGTTTTTGTATCTGTGAGATACTCTGTGCTTGTGCCCGAGAGTTGTACGTGGATTTTGGGTTCGTAAAAAAAAAACTACGTGGTTTGTGGTAGCTGACTGCCGTTGATGCTGCTGCTGCTCCCGTAACCGCCCCCTGCCGCCCCCCTGCCGCCCCCCTCCGGCCCACCCCTAGGGCGATCGTGTCGTGATTCGAATCTTAAAATTGTCCCACTGTGTGCGTGTTTCAAGTCGCGTAACGCTCGAAAACTATTTGTTAAGAAATAACAAAAATAAACTAAATAAACCCCTCTTAAAATTCCAACAAAAAAGAGTGAAAAACCTTTGAGAACCCAAGAAATCCCAGTATTTATTTTAAAAATCTAAATCCAAATTTGTTTTTTTAAATTCACAGAAATTCAAATCTACCAAAAGTAAAAAATCAAAAACTTTCCACATATATAACAAAAACTCAGTTAAAGTGCCACTTAAAAACACAATTTCTACTTTAAAAAAAAACAAGAAACAATGCCAGGCATTTCAATGCTTAACAACTAACAACAAAAGCCACCAGAAACTTGTTCAAAAAAACTACTTGGATACTTGAGGCCGCACAGATAAAGCTCAAAGAGCCTGAGGCCTTCTTCTGTTTAACCCATAGGTAAGAAACCGCCAAGAACAGGCCCTGCCCACTAAGAAGAACGCAGAAATTCCATAGCACTTATTTTTACTCTTAACGTTTTTTATTTCGTCGAAGGGCTAGCTAATTATTTATGTTTTATTGTTTTTTTTTTATTTTGGTATTTTTGCGTTGGCCAAAAAGGTAGCGAGTACAGAAAATAACGAGTACGCAGATAGAGGGAGAGAGAGAGAAAGACCAGAGATATATCTCAAAACCTGCTCCACAAAGAGAAAGAGACGGGGCGATAAGAAGAGAAAGAGAGGGCGACAACGCTGGCGGTTGGCGGACTGTCGACCGACAAGCGGCTTCCACTACAACTGCATGTGCCACTGTCATTGCCACTGAACTCAGTGTGGTGCCGCACAGTCCGCGGTGGAGTCCGCCCCCTCCCCTTGCCGCCTCACCCCCTGGCCCCATTGTTGTTGCTATTGCTGTGGCGCTCAGTTCGAGTTGGGCCGTTCGAGCCGGACTCGAAAAACCTTCGCTTGGAATTCTGGGGGTCTCTTTTATTCCCTCTGCGAGGGTATCACGTTTTGGTGGGGCTTTTTGTACAGAAATATATTTATTTTCTCTTAACATCTAATTGCATACTTAGCCATTTTTGTAAATTCCTTCCCCTATTTTTTCCCCTATTTACCCAAATATTTTTAACTGAACTTTTATATGTTTTTCATTAATTCAATAAACTAAATTTTGTTAGAAAGCAAATAGATGATTATGATAATAGGAGAGGCTTAAATTCTGAAAAATAATAATTTGTAAAAATAAAAAAAAATATAGTAAAGCAAATCATTTCAAATCCTACTTTAATCCAGTAATTTTTTGTTGAAAGCTAGTTTAAACTAACATATTACAAATTGTGGTCCTTCTTGGCTTTGCAAGGGAATGGAAAACTTCGGTTTTCCCCCATTTTTTCTCCATCTCCGTTTTTTTCTTTGTAAACCAGTTCACTTGTAGCCAGTGCCAGTGGCCACTGGTCGCTCTCGCCGTCTTGTTCGCTCTTTCTCGGCTTTGAATCCGGTTTTTCGGTTTTCGGTTTTTGGTTTTCGGTCGTGGTCGCGGTCTTAACTTGGCTCGATTCAGATTCGGAGCTCGACTTGGGCTTTAATTGTCCAGAACGTGTGGCCAAAGAGGAAACGCAATTGCCGCAAGCTTCTGTTGGGTTCAGATACTGATTCGGAGTCAGCCTCAACCTCAGACCATCATCATCATCGTCATCTACATCTCTTGATTTCTTTTAAATGCTTTACTTTTTTCCCTCATTTCATTTTCTTTATTGTTTTTTTTTTTTAGCTTTTCGTAAATCGCCTCCCGCGCTCTCACAGTCTCGTTTTGGTTTTTTTTTGGTATTTGGCTGCGGTTCTATAAAGTTATTGGCTTTTGTTTCGCCCGAGTGGAGATCTATTTTGAATGTTCATTGTCTCGGTTTATGGGCCATTTGGTCTTGTGTCAAAATGGATTTTTAGCATAAGAATGGGAGTACCATAAAAGTTTATTGCATTTTACCTCTTTGGGTGGGTTTTCCTCTCCATCTTCGGTCACAAACTACTATTTTATTTTTCGGTTGCAACAGCAGTGGGGGAAAATGTGGTTAACTGCCTTCTGGCAGGAAAATCGAAATTAATTAAAATCGTGACAAAATAGTTGATGAATTTTAGTTGGCCATAAAGCCGCGAAACAATGGTTCGTTAGGGTTTTGCCTTATACGGTTTGGAATGGGAATGGGTATATAGACACGCCTGGTTTTGGCACGTGTCTATAATTCACCTGATAGACCAGTTCATTTATTGTTCTGCAACGGAGACTCATTAATTTTGATGAGGAAATTAGACGTTGTATACGGGAATATGAATATTTGATTCTATTAACAAATCAGACAGCGGAAAGGTGATCAAAAGTTGAAATTTTATGCTTTGGGTTGGGATTAAAGATGTCAGAAAATCGATTGGGATGAAAAAATTATTTTGCATAGCTTAAATAAAGAATTGAATTAAACAAAATTCAAATTCATATTCTTTTTGGTAAAGAGCATGTCCATAATCCAATTGCAGGGGCTTAATAAATCATAGTCTTAAGGCTTCTACACTTATTAGCATAAACTCTTCTAATAAATAAGAATCGACCCATTGAAATTATCACACAATAGATTGCCTGGAAAAAGTAGCAATCCCACTAACAAAAGATCTGAAGAGCTCTATTCAAGGGTGAAATTCTTGAATGGATTTAGTTCGAATGAAAGGAGCAGCACAATATGCCAAAGAAATTTATGAAGAGATTGGCTTAGCATACAAAGTAGATTACTGCAAAGGGGATTAGTTTTAGAAAGAGTCAAAGTTAAGCCGAGAATAATTCAGTTTCAGGAAAGAATAACTGTACGAACTTGTGATAATCTTGAGAGTTTTGTTTCAAATTTATTTTGTAACATAATAGTAAATTTCACCTTCGATACAAAGATACAACTAAACCTTTTCTGAAATTGAAATGTGACGATCAAAATGAGATATTTATTAGTCGGTTTCTGGTATAAAGAACTACCAGTTTATCAGGTAAACATAGAAATTCTTCTCAGCCCAAACCTTCCATCCTTTAATAATAACAAATCCTTAGTCATAACTTTAAAGCACTTTCAATTTAATGCTAACGACATTATCAATTCTGCTGCAGCTGCATTCCCGAACCCATAAAACTTCATTAGCAGTCGTTCGTTTTCAGATTTTCCCCGCGAAATTAGCAAAGCTTTTAAATTAATGGCCAGCACACATAGAACAGGGGGCCAAGGAGCGAGGAGAGGGGTTCTGGCCAGGTACTACAAATGTGTAAATCTCATGGATATTAATCAAGAAAATTATAGACAAGGCAGCGAAGGAAGATCGCCTGCCCAGCTCAGGAGCGAAAACAGAAAGCCAACTTGTTTTCCACCATGGGCAATGATTATGCTAGATTTTTAATAGCTTTGACTATAATCTCAGATGCTGCTTGGGGCCCGAAAGGGTTTTCAGATTAACGCATGTGAAGTGCAGGTCTCTTTTTTTGTATTTTTTGTAGTTTCTTGCCTCTCCTCTTCGACTATAATTATAAGTCTGCGGCGTTTTCCCTCCTCTCCTTCGTTGTCTTGATTATTAGCTACCTTCACTCGAACATACCTATACACACAGACATCGAGGAGGAAAACGTGTACCGAAGGGATTAAAAACAGCCTGGCCAAGAGCATTCCGAGCTGCAAAGCAGATCTCGGCGACCCTTTTTCCCTGGGCTCACCCGTAATACCCATTCTCCTCCTCCTCCGAGGAACTCCTCCCACCACTCCACTTTCCTTCGTCATCGTCTTCTGGCTTGTTTGTTGTTGCTGGCTGGTGTTTTGTAAGCAAACTGAAGTGCATATGGGGCCCGCTAAGCACTCGGCCCAGAAGATATGGTCAGAAGTGTAGGCCTACTGATAAACTACACAAATACCCTAGAGATTCCTGATTTTCATTTTTTTTCCCGTATTTAATTCACTTGTTAAATAGGTTTATTTTTTTTTTATGTTTCAATAATTTCTTTCAACTTACAATATTTAATTAACAAACATCTAAGCGATTAGTTAATTATTTGGTGATCTAAGGGTCTTTTGTTTTTCTGTTATTGTATCTACAAATTTATTAATGACCTAAAAGCTCTTTTAATAAACTTTAACTTATCATAAACTTAATTTGCTACTTAAATTGATAAAATGGATTGATAATAATAAGTAATTCGTTTCTTAGCCTATAGATTAAATCTCAAAACGATCTATTTTCTTCTAACTAATTCTGCTGCTTTAAGTTTTAATTATCACATGATCATTTGGTTTTTGATGGATCGCTTTGCATGTCTTTACTGTCCCGATATACCCCGTTTAACACCCTGTAAACTGGGCAGTAAGACGCATGGACATTTCCAGCCATCGTAGGCCATCATCGGAGGGACAACCTCGGCTCCTCAACTCTCTGCGTTTTCTATACAAACACCAAATCCGTTTGCCCAGTGTGTGTGTCTGTGTGTGTTTGTATATTTTTCTGTTTTTTTTTATCAACTGAAACCTTTTCACTCTACTAGGCCCTGGGTTTCATTTCTGCTGGCCTCAGATGTTTACACACAAAAACCCAGCAAACGAACCGATCCCGGACCCAAAAGAAGAAGAGGAAGCAAGAGGGCAGAAGAAGAAGAGGAGGGAAAAAGTGGCAGCCAAATTGCTCCTCGATATCTTTTATTTTCCTCCAGCAGTAGTTGGTCTTCTGGCTCTTTTTATTATATGTACTCTACAGAGAAAGAAATGAGATCATCGATCAATGAGTGATTTAACTCCAGGTGATTTCCACCTGTAATTGATTATTTTAGATGTCATTAATCCATATGTTTTTGATTTGACTACCGAAATACGTCTTTATGTTAAATGGATTATCGAATTTCATTATTTTTTTATGAGGTATACTTAAAGAAGACGATCTTTAGACCTGATTAATATTCTTAATGATTGTTTTTTATAGTTAAATCTATTTTATTATATTATTGGAAGGTCTTCAATAATCAATACCTTTTTAATAGAACTTCTTTTAATTTTTTTATGTGCACCCAGAGACGCACTCATATTGGGAACTTTAAGCCTTTGGCTTCATTTGCTGGGCAACCGTTTGCGCAAACGTCTCGGTGTATCTGTATCTGTGGATCTTTCAGTTCGAGTATCTTTGTATCTCCGCATCTGTATCTGTGCGCGCACAACTCTCTCCCAATATTTCTACGGCAGTCTACGTGCCGTCGCTTTTGCTGATGATGTCCATTATTTACATGAATTTTATTTGTTTTTCTTATTTGGCTTGACGTTTTCAAAAGTGCCGATGTTTCAAAAAGATAATGAACGCTGAATTGTACATTGTATGTGCACAGGGTGTGGGGCAAAACGTGGGTCCGAGCGGGTCGTAAATGCAAAGTGAGGAAACAAACCCTAGAAAAAGTACCGAGATCGAAAAAACAAAAAAAAAAATGTAAAACCCAAAACGGGTTACACTTTTTTGTTTCGAGGCTACCAGAAATACGTGAGCCGAAATCGGAGGGGGATTATCGGGATCGTAATCGAATGAGATATAACAGGGCCATTGCTCATCTGAAGCAAAGGGTCCGCTGATTATATCAGCCGCCTATGTTGGGGATTTATTAGAGTCGAGTGGGTCATAAAGAGATCAGATAAATTCTTTATTGAATCCCATATAGATAGAGTGCGACTGCTTATCAGCTAGGGCAGGAGAACTCGCCTGGGTTAGATTAGAAATCATCAAATATTGGAGCAGACGCATTATCCAATTACTATCTAATAAAAATGGGATTACTTTGGCATGTGCTTCCGACATGAAGGGAGCACAAGAAAATGTGGCTTGGGTGTGTTTGAGATTGCGAGTTATAAATTAAGAAAAAAGTTCATTATCTACATAGTGTTAATATATATTTTATACATTTTTAAGTTTCCACAGTAATTTTTAAAGTGCCAAAGCCTTCTGCTAAAGATTTCCCTTAAGATACAATGGAATACGATAAGACCTACCCACATCTAACTGATATCTGAACTATTCATTTGAATTTTCTTATATTTCCACTTGAACTACACATGCTCCGCAGAGTCATTTCTCAAAAGGCTGTAACAATGATAAGCTCATGATCAAGTCATGACTTCAGCTACTTTATAGAGCTAATCTGACAGCGCACTCTCCAGCCAGACAATGCTAAAAATTATTTCCATAGATAAGACCTCCACAATGCCAACAATTCCTGGGCTAGTCATCCAAAAAAAATGAACGGTATCTCCAACAATAGGCGCCTCTTCAACAGCCTCAAAATCTTGGCTAAGCTTTTTTTTTAACCAACTATGACGATCACATTGCTTGATGTTGGCTGAATGCTAATGTTGATCTTGATGACGTTGCAACATTTTGCATTAGAATCAACTGAGACAGCGTGAACGGTTCTAGAAAATGATAAGCAAAACTGTCATTGCACCGACAGCAGGATTATTTTTTATTTTTTCGTCTTCGGACAACTGGTTATAAATTTAAATGAGGAAAATGCACTGAAAAAACTTGGTACAATTTATTTATTTTTTTATGGTTTAAAGTCATTTGCTTTTAGACTTTAGAAGACAAAGAAATCTATTATAAAATATATTTAAAAATGTTTTGTCTAAAATACATTACACCTTTTAAAATTTTGATAATTATATTTTATAAAACATAGTTTTAAATGAATTCTTAAATTTAAGAACAGGGGCTTAACCTATGAAAATATTTTGTATCGCCTTAGAAAACCATTCCGTACTGGATAAAAAAATATCATATTGAAACTGAAACTTAATGTCATATTATTGAATATTTCATACTAAACTTTTTCTTAGATACTGTTTAAAAAATTGACCCCCATTTCGTTCCTTTTTTCCTGTGCAGCGCATAAAAACAGCAGAAAAAGCGTTTGGAAGATGGGGCCACAAATTTTATGGCCCGGGCCATCATTGTGATCATTATTATCTGCATTATTTTGTTATTATCGTGATGATCACGTTTCGGAACCGCACCCCTGCCCCGTTTCTCCCCAGTCGATTTCGAGGCACTCAGAAGTCGAGGCTCCTGTTGCGTAAATCCAGTAAGCAGTCGGTCGAGTTCGGTTCGAGTCATTTACCAAAACCGACGGCAACTTGGCTGCCTGCCTCTGTAAATGTATCGGTATCTGTATCTTTGTATCTGTATCTGAGAGTGCCGGAGTATCTGCCGATATACCACATATATGTATATATGTATATATCTGGCTGAGAGAATGCCAGTGCGAGTGTGTGCGTGTTTATATCGTTACTACTGTGCTGGGCCCCTTGTTACTCAGACTCAGTGGTTCGGAGGCAGGTTTTTTTAGACGCATAATCTTATCTAACCTGCGCACTGGAAGCCCCCGATCGCGGTGCCAAACTGCGACTCGTTTTCAGTTTAGTTCCACTCGCGGTCGTCGGCAGTCCGCCGCTGATAATGATAAACCAACAACAGCAACCATAATACAAAATTCATATGGAAAAAACACGGCAACAACAACTGCGGATGCCATAATGTGATAAACTGTTTAGTTACCCTGTGAAAATATTCCTAGAAGCATATAGGTAATTTTCCAGAAAATAATTTTCTGTTTACTATGTGTTGCCAATAAACCACATTCATGAGGATAAATTCTACATAATCAGCTTTTAAGTGCTGTGTTTATTTGTACTTTCGCGCTATTTGCAAGTCTAATGCAATTAAATGTGTTAAAATTCCTTGATAAGAAGTGTCAAAAACAAATTTGAAGAACTTTGGTTGCTCTAAAAGTGAGTTACAACAGGTTCAGATAAGGATATTCTGTTTATTACTGTTATTAAATAAATATTTTAAAAAGCAAAGACCAGAAAATTAAACTAAGAAAACTTTAATGGAAAATATTTCAAAAATAAGTATATCCTTGTGAGCTAATAAAAACAATTATATTTCCAATTAAAGTCATACTCGTAGCTCTTTAATTTAAAAGTGATATGCCAAGCAGGGATTGTGATATTTTAATCAATTTCATCATCCAAAAAAAGTACCCCAAAACCTGGTAGCCAAGTTATTTGTCATATCCCGTACTACCCTAAGGGCCATAAAAACACAACGTGGAAATAACTGTTTATTGCACTTGAGGCGCAATTAAGATAAGCCCCAAAAACGAGAGCCCAATTAACCCAGCACAATCGCCTACTAATTGTTATTTATGCCACCACCCTTATTTTATTTTCCGTTTTTTCCCTCGCTATCTTTGGCAGTTCCAACGGAATGTGAAGAGCCCCACCACAAACAATGCCCACGGAAAGCTCATCCAGCGAGATCGCCGGCGGAGGAGGCGGCGGGGGTGGTGCGATACCCATGCTGCGACCTTCGCGAATGGACCAGTTCATGACCTCGATGGCGGCGGCTGCGGCGGCGGTGGGTGGTGCGGCGGACAGGAATGGCGGATCGGGCGGATCGGACGGGAGCTCCCAGAACGGCGGCGACTCGCGCAACTCCTCGGCCAGCCGGATCTCGGCGTATGAAACACAGCTGGCCTATCAGCAGCACTTGGCCGGACTCCATGGACCGCCGCCGCCGCAGCCCCCGCCGCACCACCGCGAGATCTCCGCCTTTGTGCCCGTCCTGCCCACCGGAAAGGTTCGACCGGGCAGCAATTCCAACTACGAGATCATCGCCATGATGGCCGACAAGCGGAAGGAACTGGCGCTCAGGGAGGCAGCGGCGGCCGCCATGTTGGGCAGAGGTCCTGGCGGACCCGGAGGTCCTGGCGTCCCGCCTCCGGGAGTCCTGTACGGACCGGCTGGGGTCCCGCCGCCGCCATATCTCACCGGACCGGGTCCCTCGCCCACGGGAGCCGGCAGCTTTCCATTTCCCCGGGAGCCGCCGCCGCCGCAGCCCTCTTTCCACCTGGACTGGGTCCTGGAATGCACGCAGGACTCGATAGACGCCTGCTGAGGGCTCCTGGCCGGGCATCGCGGCCAAAAAAACAGTTCATCTGCAAGTTCTGCAATCGACAGTTCACCAAGTCGTACAATCTGCTCATCCACGAAAGGACACACACGGACGAGCGGCCCTACTCCTGTGATATCTGCGGCAAGGCGTTCCGGCGACAGGATCACCTCAGGGATCACAGGTGAGTTGCGGAACTTGGAACAAGAAAACACAAAAGGGGGAGTGTCTGCTCCGGTAATTGCCATTTAGGCCTGCAGATATTTTTGCGATGGAAGGTGGGACAGGAAGGCGAATGGGGAAATACCCTCGAAAGGAGAAATTTTATATATTAATGATCACTGTGAAATTCTAATTTGTAGGTTCAAAAATTATTTAAGGGTTTTGACGGTTAAAAATAAATATTTATTTTGATTTCAATACTTAACGGTCAATCGAATAAGATTCTACATTTACCAAAAAGTATAAAATATTTAAAATATGTTAGGAAAATTGTATTCATCTTCAAGTAATTCATTTGAAATATTTGTTTAATATTAAATATATCCATTGCAGTCTTGAAAGTATTAGGTGTCAACAAAACTTAATGAAAATATTAGTTCTTGATCGAAAAAGTCCAAAATTATTACAAATATGAAGATGGTTTAGACACTCCTTAGAAAATTGTATTTCAAATAAAAGCAACTTAAGTAACATTTTGTATATATTGAGCCAGTAAACAAATACATATAACAAATAATTTTCCTTAGATTATCAATTTATCAAGAGCCCTTTTAATTGAAGAATATTTTCACCCCAACCCAATAGAGTTTTCCCCCATAAAACGAACCCGAAATCAGAGCTCCTCCGTTTGCCAGTGAAACTCCATCTTGGCCAAAGAGTGCAGCACAACAAAGTTAATTAACTCTGTGGGTTTTCCTTTGGGGCTCCTCCACCAGCATTAAAACTGAGGGATGGCCGAGAGGTGGGGAAGGTCTATATATCCCGATGCCAGGCAGCAGGTCTCCATCCCCCTTCCCCCTCCTTCCCCTCCTTCCCTACTTCCATGTGGCGGCCTGTCCGAGCGTTCTGTCTTTTGATCGTTCGGTATCGGTCCATTTGTCGTTTGTTTGCTTTGCCGCGGGGCTAATTCTTCTTTATTATTTTTTTTTGTATTTTTTTTTTGACCAGAAACGCGCAGAGCATGGGAGAAGAATCTCGGGGCCCCAGAGCAGACATAACCTGTTTTGGGTTTTAGTTTTTTTTCTTTTTTCACCGAGACACCAGCAGCTGCTGCCTCCGATGCGATGCTGAATCTGAATCCGAGGTTCCGTCGGAGATGGGGAGTTTAACTTTTAAGTAAGGCTGCTGCGATCCAACAACAAGTGGACGCCATTGCCAAGATGGCCGCCATAAACATACAAAATTAATGCAAGGCGATCGCAGACACAAAAGTTAAATACCCTATCAGTTATAAGGATGTTGGGAAAATTTTAAGCGTGGGCGTCTGATAGAGAAATATACAAGATATTCGTAGATATTAGATACAAGAAGAAAAGAGATTTTAAACATCAAGAAAAGAGTTTTCAAAGATATTAGATACAAGAAGAAAAGAGGTTTTAAACATCAAGAAAAGAGTTTTCAAATTATTTGGAAAGACAGTTATATAAGATTACTGTTTTAAAGCAAGCTGGTTTATTTGTTTTCATACAGAGAAATTTCTAGAGATTTTGTCTTCTAATAAAAAGTACTTTTAAAGCAAAAACAGTATTAAGTGTTTTTTCATTTCATTTCCTTGAAAAATATTATCAAAAATCCCTTTTTATTTAGGACTTAGGATACTAAAGAAATATATTTGCACTACAATTTTAATTGTAATTCACATAACTAGAAATTTTCGTAGTTAGTGTATACAGAGCCTTTATCTTTTCTGCAGCATACAAGATAAACTTGCATTTGAGCTGAGATAACTGTCAACTTGGGCTACCAATAGCAGCTACCGCGAAAACGCCCACGCATTAACCACGATGTCTAACCACTTTGTCCTCTTTCATTTCGCCAGGTACATCCACTCCAAGGAAAAACCGTTCAAGTGCACGGAATGCGGCAAGGGCTTCTGCCAATCGAGGACCTTGGCCGTCCACAAGATCCTGCACATGGAGGAGTCGCCGCACAAGTGTCCCGTCTGCAGTCGGTCCTTCAACCAGCGCTCCAACCTGAAGACCCATCTGCTCACCCACACGGACCACAAGCCCTACGAGTGCTCGTCGTGCGGCAAGGTGTTCCGCCGGAATTGCGATCTGCGCCGTCATGCCTTGACCCACGCAGTGGGTGAGGTCAACTCGGGCGATTTCGTGGATGTGGGTGAGGAGGACGAGGCCAGGAATTTGAGTGGTGACGAAGAGGACTCGCTGCTGGAAGTGGACTCGCCCCGCCAGTCGCCAGTCCACAATTTGGGCGATGCATCGGCGGGTGCGGCGGAAAAGTCGGAGACCGAAAGGATGCGACTCAAGCGGAAGGCGGCCATCGATCAGGAGGAAAGCGAGGAGGAGTTCGATGACTTCGATGAGGAGGAGGAGCTGCAGGATCTGCCGAGGGTCCACGACTTGGCCCGAGAAGACGAGGAGGACTTCGATCCCGAGGACGAGGAGCAGGCGGAGGTGGCTCTGGTGGCCCGATTCCAGGCGGGAAGGGCAGCCGCCACTTCGGTGGCATCCTCGGCAGTGGGCTTGGTGGCCAAGCCGGAGCGCCAGGGCGTTACCCACTGTCATCATGAAGGTGGCGAGACCTACACAATGCGACCACATGGCGAAAAGCAACTGGAGGAACTGGGAAACCCTGGCATTATCAGCCTGCCCGTTCCACCGTCCTTTGTGCGATACCCGGCACCACCGGGAGCAGCCGCACCACCCACTGGGGCTCCACCACCGAGCCACCAACACCAAGGCCATCCACACTTGCTGCCACCCAACGGAGATCCCTATTTGCCCATTCTACACGTCCGACGCGACTTGCACCACAAGAGCTTGAACCTTTCGAAGGGGGCACCACCGCCACCACACACACCACCCACTATAATCACCCAACCGGAATCGAGTAAGCCACCCAACCAACCGTTGCATTCACCACACGAGGCGATGCCGAGTTTCCTGGGCTCGATCCCCATGAGGAAGAGGATCCTGCCGGCACCCACTTTGGATTTGATGGATCCGCACCACCATCCTGGCCTGGGTCAAAGGTCGTTCGTGGACAATCCTAGTATATACGCCCTGAATATGTCGCGACATCCGCCCAGGCAACTTTTGGAAAAACCACCGAGCACAGAAGTTAGTGGAGCGCCCAGTGAAAAGGGACCAACCGCGGGGGGACCACCTGTGACCGCACCACCCATAGCACCACCACCTGCACCACCCAGAAGAACGGGATTCAGCATTGAGGATATAATGAGACGTTGAAATCGGGAGAACTACACTAGCAAGCCTGCTTTTCTTATCGATTTCCATAGAAGTAGATTTGGATTTGGAAAGACACCTTTTATCAAAAATATTTAGTGATTTTATGCAACTTTGTTACATTGCTTACTTTTAATCACCATTCCAGATGGTTTCAAGACATTAGAGATTTCAGTAACATTCCTTATAAAATATACTCTTGTATAATTTGCCTAATATCTGAATCGAAATGGAAATGGAAATCCGGGCCACGAACTGTTCCCCACTTGTATTCCCCATTTGGACCCACAAGCACATTAATTAATTAAGAGCTACGTTTTAGTACATTTTAGTACAATGTCTAGACAAGGCAATAAAACTAAACTATAAGTACGGTTACATCCCTAAGCGATAATTGTAGGCGTAAAGAAACTCTGTTGTTGCATTTTTTAGAGCCCTTATGTGTTAAGAACTTAGCCTAAATCTGCCCATTTAAATGTGTAAGCCTTTAGTACGAGAGTCTATCGATTAGTTTTTTAATGTGTGGCCCAACACTAAGTGTTGCTGTTTGAGTGAACTCCAATTTTTTATTTATGTTTCCTTATCCGGTAAGCTAATCTTAATGAGTAAACAAAATCGTAAATTGATTTTGCTGTAGGGAAAAAAATGGTTGAAAGTAAAAGTTAGTTTAAAACGGAGCATTAAACAAAATCAAACTACAAGCAACATTCCAGTTGAACCTAATGCTATGTAGGCATATTTCTTAAGAGTTTTGTAGTAGTTTTTTAAGCAGTCCCCTAGCATTCCATGGTCTTCCTTTAATTTTAAATGATTTTATTCAAACCATAGCGAGTTAGTTTATTTCAAATAAAGTTTGCATTAATATTAAAGGTTTCGTGAATTGGTTTTATTTGGATCTGTGGAACGGTAATGTATTGACTTTATTTAAATACCTATAATTATGAAACTGATTGGAAATAGCGTATGTACTTTTTGTACTTTCAAATATAGATTTGTAGTAAATAATTGAATTCTCTTTTAAATTTTATCCTAAAACAACACTACTAATTTCTTGAATTTATAAAGAAAGTTGTGTTTTATGATATTACATATTATTTATTACTCACAGATTGCTAACAATTGTTGGCTTTCAATCCAAGGTTTCCCCCTAATTCCATTTTATTCCAAACAATTTGGTTAGTTAATTTGCAATATAGTTAGAGCGCTAGTATCAAAAAGATCGATGTCCAGATTTTATGTGTTTGATTGAAACGAAGAGATCTGCGTAGAGTTATAAAAATCCACTGACTCACTCACATAAGGCCATCAATCACAGACGGCGGTAATAATACTTCAGGCACGTTTCGAGGCCCCTCCCCGACCTCCTAGACACGACAGTTTGCGGTTTGTGGCAACGCCTTTAACATTGACTCAAATCGACAAAAATCGGTGGATGGGGCTCAAATCAAAGTACACCACTCAAACACGTAGAAAGTTCAATTAAAATGCCACGTAAATTGTCATCACCGCCAGTTGGAGTTGCCCGGCTTCCTGGAATTTCCTCGACGGGCGCATTATGCGCCCATTTTTTTTCCAACTGATGACATAAATTTTTGGTTCAACTATAAAATAATTCGCATAAGACCTCAGAGTTTCTCCGGCAGATGATATCATTTTGGGTCAAGAAAAGCACGTGATTTGCTTACCAAAAACGGTGTGTGAAAATGCTTGTATATGTTCTCCACAAAAACATTAAGAGTTTCAATTATTTTCATTAAATTTTAATGTGGTATGCCCAAGAATGTATAAATAAGTAAATATAAGTAGATGGTTTAAAGTTTTTAATAGGTTGTTTGCCAATATTGGTTATTATTATCTTCGCCAAAAACAAAAAATAGTTTTAGAAATTATCCGCATATTATGTTATGCCTTAAGAATATATTAATAGTTTCTTGTTAAACAGGAACAATTTTATAAAATTGTTTCTTTTCAATCCTAGAGCTCCGATGGTGTTACTCAGTTTCAACTGACAAACCGGTTAGTAAGGGAAGTTCAGTCAACGACTCCGGAAAGGACCGTATAGTTGAAATATTTAATTTGCTTGCAGTAAAATAAACCTAATAATATGGATGAATTGTCGAGGGAGGAGCAGGACCTGCTTAAAGATACCTTCAAGATCTTGGACAAGGAGAACGAAGGAGCCATCACCTCCAAGGAACTGGGGCTGGTGATTCGAGCACTGGGTCGCCAGCCCAACGAGTCCGAGGTGCAGTCCATGATAAATGAAGTGGACTCGGATGGAAATGGAAACATCTCTGCCGCGGAATTTTGCAATGTGATCCTGCGCAAAATGCGCGATACAAATAGGGAGGATGAGCTGCGCGATTCCTTTCGCGTTTTTGATAAGGAGAATAATGGCTATATCTCGGCTACAGAGTTGAGGGCCATCTTTGTGGCACTGGGCGAAAAACTAGGCGACGACGAGCTGGAGGATATGATACGCGAGTACGACATCGATCAGGACAATCATCTCAATTTCGAGGAGTTTGTCAACATGATGACCTTGCGTTAGTCTCCTCACGAAACTATACAATAATAACACATACCTTGTCTACATTTTGCACTGAAAAAGGAAACTAAATACGTTTATAGTAAGAATGTGTTATTGTATATTTTATAATGGTTAAACCAAATTAAATGGTTGTGCATATGAAAATAAAAAACCAAGCCGAAAAAGTATTTACTGATATAATTTTAATCATATGATACTGGCAATCAAATAGCGCCCAGGAAAAAGCGAGTCAGTTCTCAGGCGGAAACTATTTTGTATTATATTTTCATTTTTACTTATCTTACAAATTTCAATTCAAATATAATATTTTTTTCGAAAATATGATTAACATTCTATATAAGATTAACATACTATATAACATTAACATACTATATAACACTAACATACTGTATATACCACACATATTATGACATGTTCCCATTTCCGAGAATTCATGCTAATGGATATATATACGATATATGGATAAATAATGTTATGCGATTTGTTTATATATATGATAATGATGTTTTCACAAAAATATATACGTACTAAACGCATGATAAGAATGATTTACATATATTTCTGTGAAAATATATTAGGAAGACAGCTTATTTTTGAGGCCATGGTCTGCTTTAAGGCACTTCGAAAATAAGCGAATATATTCAGAATCAGTTCATTGGCAACATTCGCCATCCGTGGTTCAACGCTCGGAAAATGTTTAAGATTGGAATTTGTTTTTTGTATGCCTTTGTGGCCTACAGCCTGTGCGGCATCGTTAAATCTGAGGATAATGCCAATACCCAGGCTCAGTTGAATTCTATACTGGCGATTCTGAACCGGATTCAAGAAAGGCTGGACAAGATTGAGGACAACATGGAAATGGCACGCTCCGGATTTGAGAAAATTGGTTTCAGAAATTTTTATATCGAAAATGATATTGCCACATATTGGAATGTTGCTGAAGCCACCTGTCGAGAAAAAGGCGGTTATTTAGCGGCCTTCCAAAATCAATTGGAGCTCGACAAAGTCAAATCAAAACTCAGGCCGGAGAATCGTTACTGGCTGGGCATCAACGATCGGGCAAAAGAAGGAGATTTTATATCTGTGGCCTCTGGCAAGCCAGCAACATTTTTAAGGTGGTATATGGGAGAGCCAAACAACTTCCGAGGATCTGAGGACTGCGTTTCCCTGAAGGACGGTTTAATGAGTGATAGTAATTGTGAAACTATAGCATATTATATTTGCCAGTTAGACAACGAAGTCTAATTATAACAAAAAATTAAAAATATGTTCACAAAAATTAAAAGAAAATATTGTAAAATTTTATATTTTCATGAAAAACTAAAATAATTAAATCTAAGTGCATTTAAAAATTGACACAATAAAAGTTTCTTTGACCGAAAACCATATTCGATTGCCCACTGTGCACTTTAAAAATGGATAGAGCTTCCAGATGCGTCTGTGTAGGTGGCGCTTTTCAGCTCATTTTGGGTACCAAATCTTACCACATCAGCAGCTGGCGCCACTGTTTTTTGTGGAATATGTGATTTAAAATATCAACAGTAAAACTATATTTAATATTGTTCAACTATCAAGAAAAAACTGCTAACTTTTATCTTTAAAAGAAAAACTTAAAATTTTTTTATTTTTTATGATTAAAATGTATTACATTCAAATAAATTATGGTTAATCAAGTCATATCGTAACCTTCGAGTTCTGCGAGTGTATGATTAATATATTTTTGGAAAAAGAATGTTTTTTAACTCGTAAAAATTCTTTAATACATATGTACATGTTTGCATATATTCCATGGGGTTCTTCGAAATTCAGCGAATACAGAGTCAGTTTATTGGCAGCGTTCGTCTTTCGCAGATCTGCGGTTCTAAGATGTTACAGTCCGGAACTTTTGTATTGTACTTACTCGTCGTCTTCAATTTGCACAAGTTTGCTAAGTCCCTCGATAATACCGAGTCAGTGTGTGTCCTGAAGGATGCCCCAAATCAGTGTGGGGCATATTGTCTAAACGCTACACTGGCAATACTTGCCAAAAGTCATCAAGAATGTGTAGTGACGGATGCCCCTAATCAATGCGGGGCATTCTGTCTTGCCGCTCAGAGACCTCTTTTCGATCACAACCAGCAAGTTCTGGAGCAGTTAAAACTAATTTCTGCAGCTTTAAATGAAAGTCTGAAGGTTCAACAAGATAATCAGGCAAATATCGAAAGCCTACGAAAAGAAACCCAGTTGAAGCTGGACCAAATTCAAAAAGAATCATTTTCGGAGCGGAAAATTATAGAGGAAAAGCGCGATAGTGATGAAGCAACTGTTGAACAAACAACAAGGGTTCCACCAGGATTTGAGCAACTCGGATCAAGATATTTCTATATCGAAGAAAATATTACCAAAAATTGGACTGATGCTGAAATCGCCTGTCGCGAAAAGGGAGGTCATCTAGCGGCATTCCAAAATAGTATGGAGTTTTTCACCATCGCACCAAAACTCAAAGCATCCCATTATTGGCTGGGCATCAATGATCGTGAGAAAACGGGCGAGTTTGTATCTGTGGCTTCAAGCAAGAAAGCATCATATTTGAAATTTGTTTCGTTACAATTTGGTAAACACACAAATGAAAACTGCGTTTCCATGTATCAAAAATTCTTCATGTTAAAAAGTCTTTGTGGAAAGGGTATGCGATTTATTTGCCAGTCGGACGATGAAATTTAAAAAAACTGGAAATAATAAAATCTAAATATTTTAATATTCAAAAGCAACAAAAGAGAGGCAAGAGTAAATTTAACCAAAATTTTAAACGCCAAATAAATAAATTAATATTGTCCAATATTTGTATTTATAAATGCTTATGACGTGGGACTTAAATTAAATGTACTTATATATGTATATATTTTTTGATAAATAAGAAAAAAGTTAAGATGCCCCATGAACAGAAACAAACATTATTTATTGTTATTATGTTACATTATGTTACATTTTAAGCTTAAAGCTACTTATAATTTACAAAAGAAAATTTTCCTTCGTCAGAAATTCGAATAAAACATATAAAATTACAAAGCAATACAAAAAATTATTTTAAAATTTATTCCATTAGTTTTCTAAGCGCAAGGAAAATGTAAGTGATATTTTATTCCTTTGATATTAATAGCCAATTTCGAACTTCTGTAACATTTGGCTGTGGCTCAACAGATCCACAAGCCACCCACAAGATCGCCGACTGTTAACCGGTTACCAACAGCAACAGGTCAAGAATCCAATCTGTTTTGTGGCTGGAACCCGGAGCTTTTGCCAATGCACTGGCCACTTTTAGCATTTCGGCCAAGGTAACTGAGAGCGTGGTGCCAACTGACATTTCGCCCGCCTGCAAACCGAAAGCCGAAAACCGAAAGCTTCTCCGGGCTTTTGGTCGATACCAGATGGGCTCACTTGGCCACTTTGGATGACGGCTCCTCCTCTCTTACGAACTCAGTGCGCTCAGTAGCGCTCAGCGTTCAGTTCTGTTCAGTTTCGAGTGTTATTATTCCCCAGTTCGGTTCAGAAGGTGTTCGATGTTGGACGTGTGCGCTTGATCCGGGAAAACATAACGCTTGGCAGCAGTAACTTATTGATCTCAACGGTGCTTTGTTGTTGCTTTTCTTGGCTGTCACGTATACGTACAGTCGGTTCTTCAGAGTGTGAGTGATCGCTGACTGACCGCGCCTTAAATGCAAAAAGCGTCGCTTCTAAAAAGCTAACAAATCTTTTCTTAAACGTTCGAAATAATATATTCTACGATATAACCCAATATCTTCAATAAAGTAGTGGATGAATTAAATGTTTTATAGAAAAACCAACAGTGAAAACCCAAAGCTTTGGACCAAAAAGTGAGGTTGTGTTGGTGGTAGCACCAAAAAAGTATTACCAAACACACCAATACCTGTGAAAAACCAAGTGGAGTACACAAAGAAAACATACAAGACGCGCATTAAGTTTCGGCTTAAAAGAGTTGAAATTCTGGAGTGGAAGAATCATATTTATAACGTTGTTCCACTAAAAAAAGGTGGTTTAAGTGATAATGGTCGATTTATGATTCAACTAAAAAATGCGGAAATAGTTAAATATATGAGTTAGGATTGTAATATTTTTCAAGAGTGAGAAGTAGATTTTTCTGATAAATATTTGAGCGAAAAGAAATTCAGCGGAGTATAAAGATTGGATCCGAAAATTCTGTTAGCTGTTGCTCTGTTTCTTCCCATTTTTGCACGCTTTCTTGGCAGCAACTAATTGCCCCATCTATGGCAATTTTTTCCTTTATTTTTTTGCGTTGGTTTGTGGTCAATAAACTGCAACTGCAACTTTTAAGTTGGTGCGTTCAGCGATCTGCAACGTTGGTTGCACTTGCTCAGTACCGCTGCGCTCCCTTTTATCCCCTCGTTATAGACAGGTTGTTCCCTTTATTCCAGTTCCTCTCGTAGTTCCTCTGTTACTTCCGTTCCTCATTACTCATTCGACCGGCAATTGAATATAGAAGCCGATGACGCGTTGCCATTCTGGTTACAAAAAGTCGGTAAGAACCGCGTTGAAAAAGTGAATTAAAAGAACATTTTCGCATACGTAAGAGGAAGTGGGGTATTATCAATCATTTGGCGTAGATAAGAATAGGCAAAACAAAGACAAACGATATCCCCAGTGCATTATAAAATACAAAAGATAAAGGTAAAAAAAGCAACAAGTTCAAAGACTCTGCACGTCATAGTTGATTTTAACTTAATAATTTTTTTTAAATTAATTTAGCTTTCACCATACATTTGAAATTATTTTAAAGTATATCTTTCCATGCTGTTAAAGTTTGGGTATAATTTTTGCTGACATATGAAATATCATTCACATAAAATGGAAATGCACGGCTTGCTGGTCAAGCTAATTAACATTTCAACGTGGTGAGCATCATCAATGACAATCTGTGAGATAGAAATACGTACGTAGAGAAGCGAAGAGGGTTGTATTAGTCATCTGAGATTATTAAAGCCGGCATATGACTAACGAATTCTAGATATTTACATCCAAACAAATTGGACAATAACATGACCTCAAACGACCATAAAATTACGTAGACAATTGGCATTATTCTACCAATTTTAGTTCATCGGGTTGTTGAACTCGTTGGTAGAACGGAAACTAAATTAAATTGCTGTAAAATTGACCAAAACACAGCTGCACAGCGGGAAAACCCTTTCACATTAGTGAACCATTAAGAGAAAGCTTAATTAATCTAGAACTCTGCTGTGGGAATGGAACTACAGTGATTTTGAAAGGTTAAAAATGTACAATATTTTATTAACGCATTTGCAAACCTTTAATAGATGACTTGTCCTTCTTATCTAATCATTTTAATTTTATTAAGTTATTTTAGACCATTTTATGAACTTCTTACGATATAGAAACAAAGAAAATGACAAATGTGCACGTACTCTTATAATGTCAACATTATATTTATAACATTATATATATGTCATTTGCTATAGATAAAGTTAAAAGATGTTTTAAGCCTAAAAAAGCGCAACTTTAAACAGCTCTAAAGTTAATAAACCCATAAAAAGGCAGACAATAAACTTTTGAATGCACTTCAAATGCAGTCACGGCAACCACAAAAACAACAACCAGCGTTGCAGTTGAGTCACATCCATCGACCGCCAGATACAAGATACAATCCACACACGCACCGTTGCCCCTGCTCCCCCCAAAACCCCACCCATAAAGCTACTTTGCATATTCGATAAATTTAAAATGCTGGTTATCAAGAATGTTGGGGGTGCACTCAAAGAAATTTTAGAAGTTAATAGTAAATTAAGTTACTTTTATATTCAGTTACATTTAAATAAAATAAAGTATCAATTTTCCGAGTTCAAAACTCATATGAAAACCAAATCAATAATTATTTTTTGTAGTTTGTTTTGGTGATCCTCATTTTGTGAAATTTCGCTCCGTGTAAAGTGAGGGTGGGGGAAAGTTTTGGTAAAGCCGATAAGTCGAAGGTGGAAATGCTTTCTTCTTTCTTTTTACTACGCACACGTAACCGAAGGAAAAATAAAGAAAACTTGGAAAAACACGAACTTGCGGTGCGTGCGTCGCTCTCTTTCTCTCGCTCCCTCTCTCTATCTTGCATGAATGAAATGCCTACACTTTTACAGTTATTTTACTAAAGTGGGGGAATTCCAGCAACAACTCCCCAATATTTAACATATTGTTGTTTGTTTGCCTCTTTTCTTTTGTTTTTGTTGTTCGTCGCCCTCTCTTTTTCTCTCAACCGCTCTTTTAATCGCACTATCTCGCTCTTTCTGTGAGTAATGCAACACACTAAACCCTCTCGGTTTTTCAGTCGTTGCTAACGGTTCTTTGCGTATGGACGTGTTTCGAATAGGGAAAATAAAAGAGTTAACAAATAAAGAAAATTCTAAAAGCTGATATTGGCTTGTGTGTGTGTGTTTTGGTAGGAGTTCCGTTGTTGTTTTTTCGGTTATTTTTTGGGCCCATTCTAGCGGCTTATCAGAAAAGTTTGTTAACAAAGAAACCCACCGAAAATCTCATGTTTTGGTTGGGAAATCTCAAGATAATTGTGGTTGTGATGTTGAAAAAACAAAGAAGTGAACAATAAATGAACAGTGTGTTAAAGTAGGAAATTTTACCTAAAACAATGAATGATGAAAATAAACAACTTAAAAGATAAAATAAAATTATCTGTAAAATCTGATAAACAATAATATGTGCGAAATATAAACTTGAACTGAGACATTTAAAGAAGTGCACCACATAAACTATAACTACAAAACCTAATCATTTAATAAAATTAACAAAAAGAGCCTCTAAATCTGATCTTAAGTCTAATTTAATTCTACATTCAATCCGTTTCCTTTCTCCAGCTGTTTAATAATCACGAAACTGCCATGGCGAATGTGTAATAAAACACCCTAGTGAAGTAATTAATTAAAAGAAAAGCAAACCAAATTTAACGACAACGAAAAGTGATACGAAAACGATGCACAAATGAAGCTGCAACGACATAAAACCAACTGCCAACGAAAAAGCAAAGAACCCAGGGATCCAAAATGGGTCAGCATATGTTTATGGGCGGTCGTAACGCTGATTTTTTCGACCCACTTGGCACAGGGCCAAGCCAGTCCCGAAACAGAGGGCTCCAAAGAGGTGGAACTGCTGCAGGATAATGACATCGAGTTCGCCAGTCTCGATGGCGCCACCCAGCTTTTGCCAGCAACCCGACACTCCGGCGCAGACGTCACCGTGGCGCCACCGACATCCCCTTCCCCGATGACGTCATCGTCCTCCTACACCGAACTGCAAGGCGGGGAAATCCTCAGCGAACGAATCCTTCGGCGCAGCGAAAGTCCTTATTTGGCACGCGAGGACCTCGAGGTGTTAAGGGGAGCCCGATTGACCATCGAGCCGGGAGTTACCATCGAATTTGCCCCCACCAAAGGACTGAAAATCAGCGGCGTCCTGCAGGCGGTGGTAAGTTGGAAAAACAACCTAATGGGGAAAATTCATTATGGGGCACATGAAAAGCTCGGAGTAACTTGAGTATGATTGACGGACGTGAAACCTTAAATGGATGGATTACTAAGAACTGGGGTGAAAAAATAATGCTTTAAGAAAGTTAGCTTTGAAAATACTTGTACACTGGCTTGTGCAAGAAAAAATAACTAACATTTCATATGGTTTTAATTGTTAAAATAATCTATATCTCAAAAAGGAGCTATCAATTAATAATTCTTAAATGCGTAATCAGATAATATTCAGATGACATTGTTTAAAAGAACTTGGCTTTATAGTATTTTTTTTTTTGCAAATAAATAAAAGTTAAATATTTACAGGGTAGTTTCATTGTGGAATCACTTTTTTTGGCCTACACCTGTAGACGTTTTGCGAATGATTAAGCGGCACCTGTTGCTATCAGCCGTCGAGGGTCCACTATGAGTAATCTTACTGATAGATAAGCCCATACAAAAGTTTCGTACTGAAGTTCTCTCATTGTTGACTTTATAGCAGCGATAAGATTGCGACTGACTGATTTGTACATCGTTGAGAGAGGTAGAGAGATACTATATACATATATATTAGCAGAGTTTGAGATCCATATGGAGGACATATTACTACACGCGGTATGTGGCGGTAGGTTAGGGCCTGCTCAATCTTTAACCCCATAATTGGGTCAGCCAAGTTCAGTTGACTTCCTCTCAATTATGCCGTGCACTTTGCATGTTCCGCTCTGTTCTTCTGTAGCTTCTATAGTCAGTTAATCAGCGGTCAAGGGGTCACCGAGGGTTAATTAGATTTAAGTGAATGTCGGAGTCGCATAATTGACGATTCCACAAACCGAAAGGGAAATGATTAAATTAGCTTTGTCAAACTCTTAAGCCAGTTCTAAGCCTTTCAATATGTTTGTGTTACACTTATTTTTATTTTATGTAAAACACCCGTGAGTCATGTGAATTAGAGGGTTAAGAGTTCACAACGACTTGCTGTTAATTAAATAAAACTGTTCTGCGGGAGTGGGCGGCTTTTCGTCTCGAGATCTTCGCAGCATAGGTGTTAATTGATGTCCCAATTGGTTTAAAATTATATATACTATGTATTCTTCATGTCGATTTTCATTGGCAAACGAAGGCCAAAGGCGAGAAGATATCATAATTGAAAACAAAAATAATTGCATGCTTCGTGAGAGAAACCAAGTCAAAGTAAAAAGAGTAAACACAAAAGAAAAGTGTAGTAAGAAAATAATTAGGTATAACAATTTTAATCCCAAATGAATTGTTATCATTTATTACTTTCTATAAAAAGATCTTAGAAAACATTAAAATTATTGATAAAAATTAAATTGTATTGTATGAAATAAAAAACGTGTTTAAATTGTTTTTATGACTATTCTTAAAATTATTGACCAAGTATAAAGTTTAATTTAAAGGCGATTTATTTAATTCCAGTTTACTATGAATTTAGCTGCAAGTTCACAATTTTCCAACCAAAAGTTGTCATTACTTATGTAAAGACTTGTAAAAAGGTGACCCACAATTGGACTTCCAGATTCCATAACTTCAATTTTTTGACTTTTGAATGATAGTCATTATTTTTGTAATAGCTGCATGGGTTTATTTACTTTGGCTTAGCTTCCTTTCCTGTTTTGTATGAAATTCAAACAATTATGTTTTATAGCTTCAACAAATAAATTGTATAGTTGCGAGAGTTCTAAAACTGCTGCTGGCCCAAATATTCTTGTTTTGAATATATATGCTTATCAGTATAGCATTTTATCTGGAAAAAATATATCTGGTTTATATCGGCGAAGTGTTCGAGTGTGTTCGAGGGAAATCAAGTTGAATACATTTTAAAATTTTTTTATACAAAACTCAAGAAAAAGTTGGACCCGTCGCCGACGTGAACGATAACCAGGCACTGTTTGACCTAGCTAAATTATTGCAAGCACTGAAAGATAACCCATATACATAGATGTGTACATTTTTGATTAAATTATTATCGGATTTCACTGTATAATCTTGGACTTTTGAATAAGCCGTTTGGCAAAAAAATCAGGAAGTCGAAATCGTTCTTTGATTGGCTTTTGTGATTTCCAAAAAAACGTATTTTATTATTATTCAACCCACTAAAGTTCCCCAATACCATATATTTAGGGCACGCCAACCTCAAGGATTGTTCTGAAGTCCCAGAGTAACACGGCCAACTACAAATTAGAACTGCCCGATGACCAGGAGAAGGGCATACGACTAGTGGATGGACCCACTCCAGTCGAAGGAAGACTGCAGCTTTTCCACAAGGGAGCTTGGCGATCCGTCTGCTCCAATTCGAGAAAGTAAGTGACTGATGGGCCTGAAAAAATCTGATAAATATATAATGTGTTTCCCCCCCAACAGTTGGACTTTGACGGACTATGGAGTGGCCTGTAAGCAACTGGGCTACAGGGGCGGTCGATTCTGGAACTGGGTTGAGCGAACGGCAGGGTATTACCCTCGTCTTCTATACGAACAGCCTAAGTGTAAAGGTGGCGAAAACAATCTCCAAGACTGCGCTTGGACCTCCCGTCAAATGGGAGCTGGTGCCTGCGATTATCACAATGATCTGGGAATCCAATGCCTGCCCGTGCATTCCGAGCCCTTGGGCCATTGGCGTGGCATATATTTCGATAATGCCCCATCCACGAAGGCTCTGGGCAGGGATAATATCGTTTATGCGGCTCAGTCGGAGTCCCGGCTCAAATACGTGGATATCATTAGGGCAGGAAGTGGCCCCGGCTTCAGTGCCAAGTCGGCAGTGGAAGTCCAGGGCTTGCCACCCCAAATGGAGCATGTGGTGATCAGTCATTCGGCCTACACGGGATTCAATAGCACGCGACCATGGGCAGGATTCCAGTTGCAGAATGTTACCGTGAGGAAATGCAATGGCATTGGGGTTTTCGTGAACTCCAGTCAGGGAGCAGTGCAGCTGGATGGCTGTTCCATAGTTGATAATGCCGGCGATGGAATCAAATATGTGGGACACGACTTGAGGGGTTCGGAGAGGAAAGATCGTGCCAGCATATATGATTTCTGCACTCTACCCACAACTTCCGGCCAAACCTATCCCATCTCGCTGTCCTTCACCCAGAAATATTACGCGGGCTCTGACAAAGAGTGCGGCAAGTATTTCTTCACAAGACCAGGATATCTGCTAACCCTCCATTTCGAGCACTTTGTCCTGATGCAAAACGAAACGGCCACAGTGGAAATCTACGATGGAGCCTCCACAAACGATCGCCTGCTGTTCGAATGGAAGGCCAGGAATTTCACGAGACCCCAAAGTGTGACCTCCACGAGGGAGAAAATGTTTCTGAGGATAAGAGCTGATGCCAGGCAGGAATTAAATGGCTTCTTCAGGATGACATCCGGCGACTCGGTGGCCTACGATCTGAAGGTAGCCCAGTCCACAGTAGAAGACAATGGAGGTCGTGGCGTGGCCATAGATAATATTAGATCAAAGCTCCATGTGCACAGTAGTTCTGTCTCCGGAAATGGTCATGTGGCCGGTGTTCATGTGACGAGTGGAGCTGGGGATGTGAACATAACCAACTCGAATATAAGCTTTAACAATGGCGCTGGCGTTAATATCACCTATTATGGTGGCAATCGTAATATCTCCAGATCAGCCTTAACCGCCAACAAAGGATATGGCGTAGCCACCTGGCTGAATCACACATCCGACGTAAACCGAATGGAATATATACCCTTCAACCAAACCAGCGTGGTCGAGTACTCGCATATCGATGGGAATCTAGAGACTGGAGTTTTTCACGGCAATTTCTGTCGCCCCATTTGGGTGAACATCACAGGAAACCATTTCAATGGGAGTCAACAGAACGATGTATTCATCGAATCCTGTTACCAAGCCACCGCCAATGGAAAACCCAATATGCAGCTGCAACTTGGCCATAACCAATTTAAATACTCCCAGGCAAACTCTATAAACCTAAGTCCAGCTTTAAATCTGCAGGGAAGAATTGAGTACAACATGTTCCGCTTTGGTTCCTATGGTTGTCTATTCATTAACAACGACTACATATATCCGGAGTTTAATTACTTCCCTGTTAAGTTGATTATACAGAGTAACTACTTTATGAGGAACAGTGGAGTGCATGTGGTTTCTTTGGGCCTATCGCCGTACAGTAGAGCTGAAGTTCAGTACATACTTTTTACGAGGAACTTTGTCAGAGGAAATAATATCACTGAAGCCTTTGGACCCCTAATAGCAGGCTCCGAAGGAAGTGATGGTGCCGGCAGACTAAATCCCCGATCTCGAGTAGCAGCACCCGTGGTCGTGGGTTCGAGTAACATAGACATATTCCGGAATATCCTGCACAATCTAGATTCCATGTACGAAATCGGTTCGCAACTCACTGACCAAAGTAAGATTATCAATGCCACCTGCAATTGGTTGGGACACACGGATGAGAATAAGATATACGCGCGGCTGTTCCATCGCAACGATCGCTATAATCTGGCCAAGATTAGCTATATACCCTACTTGCTGCATAGCTCCAATCCAGGTTCCACTGCCATGATCACGGTTTCCACTGTAGTTCCCCGATTTTTCCACGAGGGAAGCGATATTATTGGTGGCGAAGTCGATGGTCAGGATATGGTGCCGCCAGGAACCTATACGGTTACCAAGGACATCAATATCAGACCTGGTGGCAAACTCATACTCCAGCCCGGTACCACTCTTAAGTTTGAGCCCAGCGTGGGAATGATGGTGGCAGGAAAATTGGAAGCCAGAGGTCGCCGACCCGATGACATACTCTTCACCCTGAAGCGAGAAACGATTATAGGCGAGCACAATGACACAGAAACCATCGACTTGGATGGCGAAACCGAGGCCATAGATATGGAAACGGAAGCAATACCTTCGGATGGTGTGCCCAGGGTTCCAGTTCGATTGGTCGGCGGTGCAGGAGCGAATGAGGGAAGACTTCAGATGTATCTCAAAGGACGATGGGGTACTGTGTGTGATTATGGCTGGAATGTCCTGAACGCAGCCTTGGTTTGCCACCAATTGGGTTACTCCTTGAACCCTCAGGACTGGCGATTGCTTCGCTCGCAGTTACCAAATGCAGGCACCTCCGAGGACATCTTGGTGGCCAATGTCAGGTGCACGCTTCAGGATCGGGATGTCACCAAATGTCGGGCAGAATATGATTTCGAGAACACCTGCAGTCATGAAAACGATGTGGGTCTGCGGTGTTATGAAGGTGCTTGGGCCGGTATACGGTTCAGTATGTTGGCCGAAAGAGCTGATTTACAATATTTAACGGTGGAGAAGGCCGGACTTTTCGACTACACCACCAATTCCTTTAAGCCGGCCGTTCAAATGGATCACGCCCGTCACAATCTGGAAAATGTGAGAGTGGTTAACAATCTTCAAGACGGTTTGGGCATTGTTTATTCCGATATCTATGCTGGAAAGTCTGTGAACAACATCAAGAACTCCGAGTTCTCGGGCAATAGAGGAAGTGGCATAAGTCTCAAACAACTGGACTTCAGGATCTCGGGATCCATTATTAAAGACAACAAAGGCAGCGGTGTTTCCCACGATGCTGTGATATCTGCATTGGATCAAAAGGAAATTGGTGGATGGTTTAACATGGCCAGGGACTTCAATTCCTATGATACGGACTACGATCCTTATGTTTTGCCCAATGAGATCAGCAATATCGATCTGGGAACCTTCGAACACAAGTACATAAGAACTGAAGAGCTTCTCGGACAAAATATCAATAGGAAAATAGTGGTACAGTGTCCAGCTGGCTATGTCATAGGTATACAGCTCTTGAATCCCATTCACAATCTGTCTTCGGAGAGCATAAATATCCTGAATGCCAGAACAGAGAACACAAGGAGTGATCTGTGGCAAGTTAAAAGAGACTTAACTGTATTCCCCGTTACCAGTAGCAGTTATGGCATTATAATTTATTACGAAAGTGGCTTACAGGCGTTGGGAGGAGCTGTTCTGATGCTGAGCACTGTCACGGCCCCAGTTCAAAATATTAGAAACCGCATTGTCAGTGGAGCTGTGCCCACCCTAACTATCCGATCAACAAAGATACAAAAAAATCTAAGGGGCATCACGGGTATCTACTACAATCGCTATATAGGCGATAATGGGGAGCTATACTTGAGGAAAGCCAACGAATCAATTAAGTTAATCAACTCTGAGCTGAGTTACAACGAACGAGAGGCTGTACTTATTAGGTCGCCATTCTGGGATGTGATCTCCAGTAATTTGTCAGAGATTACCCTTCACATAAATGGTTCTCTGATCACCCAAAATGGACTTGGTATACGACAAATGTCAAAGGATCTGCGATCGTCCAACAATCTCTTCCATTACGTGATACAGGATACTACAGTGGAGCAGAATACTCATGGAGGTTTTCAGGTAAAATCATGACTATACCAGGACCTTAGAATTGTATCTAAACTTTCGTTTCCCTTTTTCAGGTGTCTCTTCCATATGTGTGGCAATACAACGAGAACTTCACCCACTCGATTTACTTTGGCAACAGCACTTGGCAGAGAAATCGCGACTTCCGCATCTCCATTTCCGGGCATTACACGGTCTTCAATATAACGTCCAATGTTTTTAGGGAGAATAATTGCCCTGGAGCTCTGATATCTCTCGATGGAATGGAAAAGCGGCTTCGTTTCGACAACAATCGCTTTGAATCGAATAATGCCAAGTTTGTGCTGCTCTTCAAAGCGGATTCCCTCAGTGAGATTATCGGACAAGTACCAGCCAGCATTGAATATAATAGCTTCAAGGGAAATAACATTGTAACCATGACCGCAAACTATAGAAACCAATACATGAAAGCTGCCAGGAGAATAAGGAAACAACATAAGATTCCATCCTCAGTGATCCGATTGGATGGTGTTCAGAATGTTCGACTGTATCGCAATCTTATATCCGAAAATGAAATGGACTATAACCTTGTGGCAGGAGTGAGATCGGCCAGATTGAACAACTACTTTGAGGCTAGAGAAAATTGGTGGGGCACCAAAGATACCGCTTTCATAGAGGCTAAGATATTCGACTTCGACAATTGGAACGATCACGCTGATGTCATTTATCAACCATTCCTCATCGAAGATAGTTTCGATGCCAGTGTATCAGTGGTTGTCCCCTTCAATCAAGATCAGGAGATAGATCTGTTAGCCTACAGAGGTGGCAGGGTGTACAAGGACTTGGTATTGAAGAAACAGAGTACACCCTACTATATATCGTCGGATATTACGGTGATGCCCGGCAAAACATTGACCATAAGCCATGGTGTCACAATGGAATTCGAGCCCAATGTGGGAATACTGGTTTTGGGCACCCTAGTGGCCGTTGGCTACAAGGAATCGCCTATTGTAATGAGACCCTTTAGAAATGCCACCCGGGAATCTCTGATTGATGCTCAGCCCAAGAAACGCGCCCTGGAGGACATGAGTGCTCCGCTGACCGAATTCGATTCCATAAGACTGTGTACCAGTGCCAATAACTGCACAGGAGATGCCGATGCATTGTTGGGTTTGAACGAGGGATTTCTGGAGTACTTCAATCACACCACTCTTCAGTGGGTTCCCATTTGCGACAGCAGATTCACAGAGCGGAATGCCCAAGTCGTGTGTCGAGAACTGGGCTACGATCCCCTGAATGTTTACTATGGCCACGATCGGAGGATCGAGTTCCACACGAATTCCCTGACCCGAATTTGGTCATGGGTGCAACCATTGGAGTGCCGAGGTGACGAGGACACAATGGAGGATTGTGCCGAGCGTTTGAATGGCCAACTCTATGGCCATCGACACGAGTGCCGTTGGGATGATGCGTTCGTATTTGTCAGCTGTAACAGCGTGGCCGATGATGAAATTTATTGGGGTGGCATAAGGTTTGCGAACTCGAAGTTCGAGGAAATCCAGTACGAGCATCGCTTGCACAACACAAGATCTCATGCGAGGTTGCCCTTGAGGGAAAGCCAGTTGGAGTTTGTGCGGATTGAACAGGCCGGCATACTGCATAATCACAAGGCAGCCGCCATTCAAGCCATACACAAGAACCCGTCAATAACCTCGGTGAGCATTGAGAACTCTGCCAATCATGGCATAAATCTGATAGCTCCCAGTGGTAAATTGAATTTGAACCACCTGAACATTAATAAAACATTGGGAACTGGAATCAGCATTGTATCCTTGAGTGGCGAAGGTCGCGATAGCGATGAGTCTAGTTTTTCTCCCCTCAAGAAATTAGATCTCCCATATAAACTGTTTTCCCTGGTGGACATATGCGATCCCCAAAAGGTGCTGACCATCGAAGAGCGCATGGTGATCTACTACAAATACGATAATAACCCCGTAAACTGTGTGAAGATCTTTACCTCCGCCTTTCGAGCTAAACCAATTGGTTTCAGATTGCTACAATCCAATCTATTTAATCACTCTAAGCTTTATGGCAGAACCGATTTTCTAAAACTATACGACGGCGATATCTACAATGTGACTGCCACATATTTGGGCAAAATCGAATCTGATTCGGACAATCAAAGGTCGTTCTTCAAGACGAAGGGCCCAACGATGAGTCTTCAATTGGTGGCCAGTGGTGCTCCCGAAACGCATGGTTTTATAGCTGAGGTCGTTACAGTTCCCATTTCCACTTTGGGTCAATGTGAGTTAATCTTAAATTAATCTCCCATTTAAATAAAATTAAATCTTAAAATCATGTTACAGATCGCGATGCTTTGCATAATATTACGGATACTCATATCTCAGGTGCGATAAAAGGGGCGGTGGCCTACTCTTCTGCGGGTGAGGTCACGCCCACTTTGACTTTAATAGGAAATCGGATAGAAAAGAATTGCCTTCAATTGTATGGCAACTTCTCAACCTGCTCTTCAGCTTTGAATTTGGATGTGCAGAACATGAACTCTTTGTATTTTATGGTAAATAGCAATAGAAGAAACGGAGTTCTCAATATTAATTATTTTCTTTTCATTTCGTCAGAACAACCTGATCACAGAAAATCAAGGAGGCTTGAGAATCCGTGCTGATTCCCGAGGTTCCGCCACCTCACTTCGAGGCTTCGTTCATCACAACCTATTTATGAGGAATCACAATCGTCCTGCTCTCTACGTGGAAGGACGACAATCATCGCCGTATCAGGAAGTAGAGCTCTATCGCAATTACTTTGCCCAAAATATGGCTGGCTACGAGGATGTGATCCGGTTGTGCCAAGTGGTGTCCAACTTCAGCTATAACTATGTGCACAGCAATGTGGGAGGAAGAATTATGGAGGTTTCTGGCTTCGAAAAGGTGCGACTGCAGATCTACCAAACCACGGCTCACAATGGTTTTTATAGGTAGGTCTTCCTTTTGTAAAACAGATACGTTTTTCTAATACGAAGTCAACGATTTTTAGGAATTTTGCCACCAACTGGATGACCCGGGCAACAATTGTGGCCGGAACAGCGGGTCAGCAATATGTGGATAATATTTTCGAGAATTACGAAAACGATTATGAGCTGCTAACCGTCAATAATTCCATGTAAATATTATTCCTATTTTTATAAAAAAATATTAGAAACTGCGCAGAAAAAATCCAGAATAAGTAGTACTTTAATAACTATGATGTTTTTCTGTGGAGAAACTTTTTCAAACCTTTTAACTCATAATCTTACCTTATAAACTGTTCATGGGAATCTAATTTTTACTCTATTTTTTCTATTTCCTACAATTATCCTTCATGTAGTTTGAGTTTTGACTATGAAAACAGGTAAGATAAAATTTAAGACATAATCAACACAAAGCTTTTATTAATTTTACAAATCTTCAACTAGGTCCTTTGAAACCTGGAGCTCAAAGATCGATGCTCGCCACAATTATTGGAGCTATAACAACACAATATCAGTGCAGTCTCGTATCAGAGATAAGTCCGGTGAGCTTTTATATAACTAAACAGTTTGTATGAACATTATAAAACTTCGAGAATTTCAACAGATGATCCCATGTTATTGGAGGTCTTGGCCGTGCCCTTCCAAATGAACAATGAAACTATCCTGGATGGTAAATGCCCTCCAGGATGGGCTCTTGTTCACGACACCTGTTTCATCTACGTGGGAGCTCCCATGACCTTCCATGAGGCTCGTGATTTCTGTCGTTCGGAAAACTCCACAATGCCTTTCATTCGCACGGACAAGACTACTTTGTGGAAGTATCTTCAAAGTCAAATGAGGCACATGAAGTATCCGGATAAGGTTTGGATTCAGGACTACAATCACATCGAACGCTGTACTAGTTTCGTATTTGGGGAGATCGAACTGGAGGATTGCAGCAAGGAGCGCGGTTTCATATGCGAAATGGATCCTAGGGTAAGATATTGTAAAACTAATTTACAGAAACTAAACACTTGTTAATGAACCACATCTTTCCAGGTCATCATTGATCCCTTGTCTTGGCGTGCAGACATCTTTGCCATCAGTATTATCTCAGCCTTTGTCCTTGCCATTATCCTGCTGATCCTGGTGGCCTTCTGCTGGTTCGCCAAGTCGAAACATCGTCATGTCCAACGACTCCAGCGAAGAAACAGCATTCGTCAAAGCTTACGAAGCTTGAACAGCATCGATCCGCAGGGATCCCTTCGCAGAAGACCCAATTATGTATGATTTGCTTTTGATTTTATTAGTTCTTGATTTTTATTTGATTTTTATCTTTATTTGTACTCCATTTTATGTTGTTTCTTGGGGCTCATCGATATCCAGAACATGTCCAGCAATGGAACATTGTCGAAGAGTCAGGACTACAAGCAGATGGTGGCCAATGGTTCCATTGATTCCATGGACAAGAGTGTGCTGAGTTCGGAGGCTGGAAGCTTTGAGGGCTACGAGCCGAAGCCCCACTACAACGAGTATGTGAATCAGAATGCCTTGAGACAAGTTCAGCCCGCACAAGATCATCAGAGTCACAAGGTGGCCACCATTTCCAAGGCGAGTGGCCATCGGGCGAGAGCTGCTGCCGCTGCAGCTGCCGCCTTGGAACCCGATGCCTTTGAGCTGAGCTACCGGAACGAGGGATTCCGGGACAACTCCACCTACGGCGGAGGGACCCGGGCCAATTCCATAAGCACCAGTGTGGCAGAGGACACGCCAATCATACATCACACAGACCAGGAGGTCGACGAGGGTGGTTCCGACTACTATGGCAATGCCAGTACCCTACCACTTCGAACTGAGGGTGGGGGTGGTAGCACAACGGGCGGAAGGCGTGGTCAACCCGGTTTGGCCTTCCTCAGCGAACTCAAACAGAATCTGCCCGAGTACCAGAGAAGTTCCCACAGCAGTTTTATGCCGCAGCGAAGTAGCGGCGAATCCCTGCCCTTCGATCAAAAACTGGATCAATTCAACTACTCCACGGAGTCTTCACTGTACCGTCCAGCGCCTGCGGTACCCAGTCAGCAGGCAACGCCACCGGACATGCGACGTCCGGACTCCTATTATACGGCCGTCAGGAGCAGCAAAGCTCCAGTCTCACATTACCGGACACCGAGGCCACTGGCACAACCACCGGCCGCACCAAAAATGACGCCCTTGGGTGGACCGACGCACGGGCGTCCCAAGACGGTTTACCAAACAGCTTCCGAGGAGTCCTCCCCAACGACCCCCTCACCGCTGACCAATCCGTACCATCGCTCCAAGTCGGAGGCCCTGCTGGAGACAGATTTCGATGGGGATGATGGAACGGGGGGACTGCAGCCCCTGCAAGCTAACGGACGGAGTCACAGTCAGCCCCTGGAAACGGCCATGTGAAGAGTCGTCATCCATTTCATGCTCTAATTTAACACTCACTTGACACTTTCGGCTCTTTGCGGACCTGACCAAACTTTCCTTTCTATAAATTGTAGTTTTGTCAGCTTCCTTTAGGGTTTAAACCACCACAGCTTCGTAGTTTTTAGTTCGCCTTAAATATATATCTTTTTAAAATCGAGATTACGATAGAGAGAGACCAAGAGAGACGAACACGCCCGCCCGTTGTTTTTTTTGTGGTAAACTTAGATCATTCCATCCATTAGCCTTAAGTCTATGTTTAACTATTAACGAAACGAATTAGTTTTAAGTTGTTGTATATAAACAGAAAAATAAAAGAAACAAATTGAATAGATAACACAACAATGTTTTTGTGAAAGAAAATAAAAATAGAAAAATATTCTTTTTTATTAGATAATATTATATTATATTTTTTTCAAGCAGCCGTAGAAAAAGTTGCCGGTCTGATCAGCATTACGGCACGCTTCATCATATCCATGAATTCACCGGTTCTAAATGACGACCAAATTATGCCGTACACACCCTGCATTTCGCCATACATACCACACAAGTCGCTAAAAGAAAAATTATTATATACTCAAACTTTTTTAGATGCTATTCTTTGCCTACCTGTGAAGACAATTGTAGTACCACCAAGCGCCTTGAAAACCCTTTGCACAGTCACCGCGCTCCTTAGTGGTAAACTGCCTGCCGAGGTGATATTCGAGTGAATCGCCGGCGTCCCCAGAAAATGATCCCACCGATTCCAGAGTGTAGTTGTTACTCTCGGGTCCAACTCTAAAGTTATCGTACAACTCGTAGGACTGATTTCCGTAAAAATTCTCCAGGAGGACAAGAAGTTCATGGGGCTCCGATGAAGTCATCGCATGCAGCTTGTCTAAACCAATGAAGAACTCATTGTCCAGCTGGCCAAACCCTTTTTGGTAGTCCTTCCATTCGAGGAAGAAGTCCTGACTTCCGTCGTTTCGTCGAAGAACTGTTGTCCAACCTCCACCGTGACTTTCCTGATCGCAGGTCACCTCAAAGGGGTACGTACTGTACGAGGGCACACGAACCAACAGTTTGCTGCTGTTACGTGACTCGGCGCAGTTGGCAGGATATGTATTGGTCACAAAGGCTTGTAACTTTTTGTCCAAGCCCTCCAAAATTGCCGCCTGTCGTGCTTGCTCCTCACTAGCAGTTCATTCAAAAGTTTTTTAAAATTATAATAACCTTATTTGTATTTAAATATTTACCGCACAGCAGCGACTTCAGATTTCGTTGCCAGAACATCATCACATGTTGTCAAAGAGGTACAAACTTCAGTTCCATTTTCGATGGCTGAAGTATTTAGAATTAGCAGGGAAAATAAAATTCCAAATCGCAACATAACTTGACTATAGCTCTGTGCATACTGAGAAAAAGATCTTACATAGGGTCCATTTTATAGTATTCTAATCTAAACTGTTGTATTTCATTATGTGTTATCCCATTTAAACAATAGAGGAATTAAAATATTTTAGCTAAGCGTACACTGAGCATTTAAATGCTATATCAATGTATAATACATAAGTAAGTTAATTGCACGGTTTGGAAGTCAAGTTGTTCTTCAAATAGAATTAATAAGTTATTTTTAAAATTTAAATATTTGAATTTGAATATTTTGAATATAAATAAATATAAAACTTTTATGTGATTCTTAATAAATATATCGAAATAATTTAGGAACTATATAAAATAGTCCAATATCTTTATTAAATAAAATTAAAAAGAAAACAAACAAAAATACAGTTTAGAACTGTGTAGTCAGAGAAAAAGTGTGCATGAATTTATGGTATCATAACTTTATGTGGCATATTTCATTCTTATCTATTTCGCATAATTTAATTTAAGTAACATACGCTTAAAGAAACAGGCGTTTTTTAAATAAATTGTGTAAGATATTTATATTTTTAAAATTTAATAATAATAAGTTTAATATAATACATAAGTAACATTTGCAACTAAATGAAATATGAAAACTGTATTTGTGATTGTATATTAGCGACATGTAAAGATAAAATAGCCCCTAAATTACTCAATTACTTTTACTTGATGCTTAATGATGTTTGCCTTCCTTGATGTTCCTTGAATTGCAACATCTTGAGTAAGATAACTGGAGAATCTACCGGAAGTACTACAATCTAATATTTTATAATTTATAGAATTTCGAAAAAGGGGATTCCCAATTCTTCGATTCAAAATATCAGCCTAAGTACCAACCAACATAAATAAAATTAAAGCTGAAAGACTGAGAAAAAGCTCTTAACTCTGATGAATCAAAATTATTGGTAATCTTATCTGATTTACCCGCATATATAAAATAAACAACGAAAACTAATACATTGTACACGGCAAGACCTTTTTTCGGTTGAACTTAACAAAGGAAATAACAATTTAAGACATTTTTTTTATTTAAGGTATGCGCTTAAAACTAATTAGAAGAAAACCTTCTCGGCCTTATCATCATGGTGGCTCGTTTTAGATTGTAATTGTTCTTTCCAAATGTTTCCCAAACTATTCCTTGTGCATTATTGTTTTCGCCATATTTACCACACAAGTGACTGGGGGAAAATTAGAATTGTATTAGTTTAAATATAAATATTTAACGAATTTTTTTTAGAGAAATTCTTGAATAATTATATTATATGACACAATAAATCTTATTTTTCAGAAAACTACTGAGTTGTTAAATGCTTACCTTGTATAGCAACTCCGAAAACACCAAGCACCTTTATACAATTCTGCACAGTTCGTATTTAATGTGCCATGGTTCTTACGATCCTTAGTGGTAAATTTCATGCCCACGTGATTATACAGTGAATTCCCGGCATCCCCATGGGATGATCCCACCGATTCTAGAGTGTAGTTGTTAGCCTCGGCCCCGATTTTAAAATTGTCGTACAGCTGGTAGCGATAATCTTCTTTATAACCCTCCAGGAGGACTAGAAGCTCCTGGGGCTCCGATGCAGTCATTGCGTGCAGTTTGTCCATTCCCATGAAAAACTCATTGTCCAGTAGGCCAAATCCGTTTTTGTAGTCCTTCCATTCAAGGAAAAAGTCCTGACTACCATCGTTTCTTCGCAGAAATACCGTCCAGCCCCCACCGTGACTTTTCTGATCGCAGGTCACTTCAAAGGGGGCTTCACTGTACTCGGGGACGCGTATCGTAAGTTTACTTTTAGAAGTCTGAGCGCAGTTTGCTGGGTATAAATTGGGCACACAAAGGTCGAATTTTTTGCCTAAACCTTCTAAAATAATCGCCTGCCGTTTTTGCTCCGCACTAGTAATTTATTTAAAAACAAAAATCGCATAAAACTTCTCAATTTATTCAGAATTTATTTACCGGACAGCAGCAACTTCGGATTTCAAGGCTTTAAGATTATCACAAATGGAAAGGAGAGTACAAACTTCCTTTCCATTTTGACTGGCTGATGTTATTATAAATAATAAGGAAAATAATATTCCGAAACGCAACATGTCTTCACCGCAGCTTATTTAAGACTAAGAAAAAGCACTTTAACGTTCCTTATCAGATTTACTGATTTAAAGATTAATACTTAATACCTTGCCTGTCAATTAAAATAATACTTTTAAACTTTTACGAAAAATGTTTTGAGCAAATACCTTATAAATGATTAAACTATAGACGTCTCTATTGAAAGATTGAACCAACCGAATATACATAAGCAAAGGCAACAGTACGTATAAGTACTATAATTTATATTACTCATACGTAAAGCGTTAAAGTATATTACTCATACGTACTGTTGCCTCAAATATATCCTTCATTTCTCATTTGAAAAATAACATTTTTTTTATACATATCCATATAAGTAGATTATACAAACTTCGACCTAATCTTCTTTCTTGATTTTTAATATCTCTCTCCCTTATTGGAAAGGCAACAGTACGTATGAGTACTTTAAATAATATTATTCATACGTTAAGCTTCAAAGTATATTACTCATACGTTCTGTTGCCTCAAATATATCTTTCAGTTCTCATTCGTAAAATATAATTTTGTTTATACATATCCACACAAGTAGATTATATAAACTTCGACATAATCTTCTTTCTTGATTTTGAATCTCTCTCTCCCTTATTGGAAAGGCAACAGTACGTATGAGTACTTTAAATAATATTATTCATACGTTAAACTTCAAAGTATATTACTCATACGTTCTGTTGCCATAAATATATCTTTCAGTTCTCATTCGAAAAATATATTTTTGTTTATACATATCCACACAAGTAGAGTATAAAAACTTCGACCTAATCTTCTTTCTTGATTTTTAATCTCTCTCTCCCTTATTAGATTAGCAACATTAGTGCTTTAAAGTATATTACTTATACGTAAAGCTTAAAAATATATTACTGATACGTACTGTTGCCTCAAATATATCCTTCAGTTCTTATTCGAAAAATTACCTTTTTGTTTATACATATCCACACAAGTAGAGTATACAAAGTTCGACCTACTCTTTCTTGATTTTTAATCTCTCTCTCCCTTATTGGTTGTTGTTGGTTATCAGCACTCTTCCAAATGAGTTATTGTTGTAACTCAGGATTAAGAAAAATGATATTAAAAGTATATATAAACTGTTAAAATTTTTCATCTTTAATTCATTCAATTTTTTTTTGACAGTGAAATGAGAACCTAATTGGATTCTTTGCGAAAAATGTTTGTTGGGTTTACATTTTATGCAAGGCTCGCAAAAAAGAGAGAGAGAGAGGGCTTGAGAGAGAAATTTGTAATTTTTACTTGCTGGAAGCAGTGTTGCCAACTATTGATGAGCCAACAAAATAAAGTTGAATAATGCTAGGAATCTAAATGTAAAAAAGTTGTAATTTTCTAGTTGATAATTATTATTTACTTATAAATTTTTCGATTATAGCAATGGCAAGTGAATTATGGATTTTAGTTTAAGGATTGACTTTAGCGTAAAAAAGCTACGAAACAGCCGAAGTAAACATACAAACTCCTGGAATTTACCAGACCATAGCTATGCTTAAAATTTTTACAACAATACAGAAAACCCAACTTGAAAAAAACTTCTTAAATTTCTTTCCCGCTTTTTATTTAAAAGAAATTTTTAAATTAGTCTGGAAAAAAATCCAGAAATGGCGAGAAATAAACTGATTTGGCAGCACCGCTGGAGTGCGGAGAGAGTAAATTGGGGAGCGCGTGTCCGCTCTCTCTCTCATTTTCGCTCTCTTTGGCGCTGTTTAGTCAATTCTCCAAAAATCGCGTCGCGTGCTGTTTTGTGTAGTAAGCGCCATTCAGTTTTTCACTCGCCGCCGCTGGTCCGCTTTTCCGCTGGTTTTCCTGCATTTCCTCAGTCGAAAAATACATAAATACAAATAACTAAGAAAAAACACTTTTGTGATTAAACAAGAAGGAAAACCAACAGCCAAAGACGGAGACGGAGATAGAGGGGGATAGCGAGCGAATCAAGTAAGTTTTGCACTGAAGGTGATTGTGATAGTGTGTGTGTCAGACGGAAAGAGAGAGGGTCCTGAAGTTGCAAGCTTAAGCTGAGTGCTAAATTTAGAACTCAAGCTGAAGGCTGCACCACCCCCGCGCTACCCCACTGCCCCTCTCCACCCACCACCCACCTACGTCAGACGCTCTCCCAAAAGGGAGAAAGAGAGAGTAAGTGAATGAGTGTGTGTGTGTGTAGTATGAATGGAACAAAAGTACGGAGGGGGTGCATGTGCATGTGTGTGTGGGTGTGCTTGTATACATGTATTTGTGGCACGTAGACTCGTAGTAAAATTTTCCGCGTAAAATTGAAAGCAAATTGAAAAGCTCACTAGGGAGTTCGCCAAAAGTGCCAAAACTTCCTGAGAAATAATAATGGTTTTATATGATTTATATAAGAAAAGAAATAGTATGTATAAAAAATGAATTTAAAAAAAAAATGTTAAATACAGCCCAATGTACAATAATAAAACAATTAAAAAACCAAAATAAAACAAGACAGTAAATTATAATAAAACGGTTTAATGAAAAGTTAAACGCTTATCCTTAAGTTGGGAAGTTTAAAATTTCTTCGTGGTAACATAAAATCCCTATACGTGTAAATCGTTTTTGCAATAATACAAATTAAAGGAAGTAAAAAATAAACGTGTTTTGTATGGCAATCTAAAAAATATTGAAGACAAAATATGTGTATAAAAAACAATTAAAAATATATATAAAAATGCAGAAAACTGCCTCGAGTCTTCAAACAACCAGTTCGTGCGTAGTTTTTCATGTCATGTTTTCCACATTTGATGGCGAAAAGCGTTGCAACGAGTTTCGTACGCTTCGTTTTGTTTCACTTTTTTGCCGAGGTTTTCCTTCTTCTTTTATTTTCTTCTCTTCCTCTCTACTCTTATTTTTGCTGCCACACGTTACTACTCATAGACATGGATATATAGGCATATAGTCATAGGAATAGGAACCTGCCCGCTCCAGCTGGTTATTCTTTCGATATAAATGCTAAGGTGCGCGAAAAAGTTGTAGCGCGATTAAAAATTATTGGGTACATGGTCAGTGGGGCTTTGAGAAACAGTACTTAGGAGTAAGTAAATATTATATTCGGGATTATTATTATTTACTAACAAGAACAATTTTTGTCCGTTAAAAAAAGTTGTTATAAATCTTAAGAGATTATTGAGATTGATATGACGTGCTCGGTAAAACAAATCTTAAATGATTGGTTAGGATTTTAATTTAACCCGATTATAATCTTGAGTGTGGCAATATTTATTAATGTATTGATTAAAATAAAAAATGGAATTTAAGACCCATGAACCTTTACAATTTTGTTTGGCAGCTTAAACATCGTTGTTGGAGGCACGAGTTAAGCGCGCATGTACAAAAGCGAGCAGCACTACGTTAGACCCTGCCCCCTCTGGAACCCCCCAATTTTCCATGAGCGCCCACACGGGCATCGCATCCAAAGTGTAGTAAGTGCACTTTGTGAGTGCGGCCAGGGTTGCCAGACGAGTGCGATTTTGCTCAATTGTGGGGTGGGAATGGGCGAACAATTCAATGAATGGGAAAACGCCTGCACACAAAAGAAAACCAGACGAAAGAAATTTGCCAGGGAATGTTAATTTTGCACAGCTAATTACTACACGCCGATTATCTAGAATCAATTATTTTGCGCAACTTTTGTAATTAAACATGACTACATTGTTGTGTAATACGATCAGGTTATAAGTTTAGTTTACTTTAATAATTTGACTAGTTTTTTATGGTTTTTGATTTATACATTCTACGTTTTTTGCTGTCTCTCCTTTAATATTACCCAATTTAGGCCTTAGGGCTGGTCTTTGTAAATCATTCTATATCTCGAAATTTTCAGTTGATTTGATGCTTATGGTAATTTCTATTAATAACGACCACAACTTTTGGAACTATAAATTAGAATGATATATTTAATTATGTATTTTTTTGTCTGTCAAAATATTTATTTATTTTGCAAAACAAAGTTCCCAATCCCAGTAAGTTAATTAAATAAGTTTTCAAGAAATGTATTTGATTCGAAAAGTAAATTTAATTTATTTGTGTTTATAAAGATTTTTTTTTGAAGTAGAAATGCTTCTTGAACTACAATAAATATTCAATAATTTAATGATAACAAAAATATAGAAACAAGAAATTCTTTTCCTATTTCGTTAAAAAAATACATTTAAAAAAATTTGTTAGTTCGGGTTTACCTAGTCCATCTGGTAACTCTGAAAATTGCAAGTGAGAAGAGAACGTAGGTTGCACGCATTGGAGAATTTTTTTGGGGTATGGGGAATGTTGTTCTCTCTCCAGCGCCAGCGCAGAGATTTTTAGAGATTTGGAGACAACAGTGTTGCTTTGCCACATTGTGGGCGCAATGAGTTTTCAGTTGGAGCGCAACGTTAGCCGGTGACGGGCGATGGGATATATGCGATATATACGCGACTTATACCCGATATACAAAGTAACGCCGTAGTAATCAGCCAAGTCAGCAGGCGTAGGCGGATCCAAAACAGTTGCACAACTACCGCATTTCGTGAGGAAAAAAATAAATCTATGAAAATAAATATATATAGTGCCACAAGGTGTTTAAAAACCAATTTCGATGGGCTAAAAACCTCGAAGCCCACAGTTTAACCCTTCGGTGGAGCGGTGTGCCTGTTTTTTTTTATTTGCGGATTTCGTGTCGTCTGGTTTCCGTTCCCGTGCCAAAAAAAATCGATAATTCCGTGCTGTATCGGGTGTTTTGAGTACTACGCGTAAGGACCAAGTGTGCGCAAAAGAGATTGTAAGAAAGAGAGATTGTAAATCACAGTTAAAGACTCAAAACTACAAACATAAAATTTAACTGACTAAAAATGTATTTTTCTACATAAAAGTCAAGTACCAGAAAATTAATAAGAAACCTGGTTTTAAAATCATAAAAATGCTTTTTTAACATTACCACAGAGAGAATTCTCTCACCGCTACCATTTCTCGTTATCTACCGAATTACAACCAAAGAGAGAGTAAGAGAGAAAGTGGGAGGAGAGAGCACGTAAACGTGATTGAAATTTTTGCACAAAAAGGAAGCGCCGCTTACGCTTTACACGCGGGTTAAGAAGAAGAATTGCAAAACGAAGCAGCGCGTAAAAATAACAAACAAAAATACATGCGGAGGCGTATAAATAGAAACAGCGTGTAAAGCGCAACGGCAAAGAAGTCGGTAGTATGTAGTAATAGTAGTAGAAAAAGAAGGCGAAGGGGAAGTAGCAGGAGGAGGAGAAGAATAACGAAGTAGACGTCGACTGCGACGCCGACTGCGACTGCGGCGTCGTAGTAAGTTTTTCTCCTGTACGTGTGCGCTGCGTGGGTGCATCGTATTTGTTGTGTGCGTGTGGCATGTGAACCGAATAAAAGCCAAAGCGGAAAACCATGATAAAGTTTGTCAGGCAGAAAAATCGCGAAAACACACTAAGGGTATCCAAAAATTTTATGCGTAAAAAGGTGCGATTTTTAAATATTTTCAATAAATTTATGCAATTTGGTTTTTCAAATTTTTATTTTTTAAGTTGCGGGGTACGATTGTACTTCACAGTTATGTATATTCATAAATTGATAAGTAAACTATTATATTTATTCATTTTTTTTATTACAAGATATATGTTTATTTGAAACCTTAGGATCAAACAAGCTTTAGCGATTTTTATTAAGATTTATAAATTAAGTATATCAAATTTATTTTGAATATATTTTATGAATACAAGGTTTTTTCTTCCGCAGCGTGAATCGAATGACTCTGGCACCGAATCTGATGGTGAACTCCTCGATGTGGAAAACCAACGTCACTTAGACGTGGATATGGAAACTAGTAAGTGCTAAACAGCAAATACGGGTTTTGAAGACAAACTTTAAAACTATTTCGAAACTAAAAACATTAAGTTGAATTCCATTCACATTTTTGGAATCTTAAACAAATAACAAGTAACTGAATGGTTTTTTATGAAAGAAAACTGACTGTGGCACCTTGTTTTGGCAATTGAATGATATAGTTTTGTAATTGGAAAACAGATTTTAATTAGTTAAAAATTTAAATCTTTTTTATCTGACCTTCTGTATTGTTTAACTTAATAATCTTAAATGTGATTGTGTATTATTTTGAAAATCAAAAGCTTCAGAGCTTCTTAAAATGTAGTAATTAATTAAGGGACATGTTAACATGATTTGCGCAATCTAAAGAACCCTATTAATATTATTCATCCCATCGCTTAGGTGTTGCTGGCCAGAAACCAATCGCTCCTGCAATGATGTGTCACCAGCAGACGTCGTCATCCTGCGCCCATCTCATGTACGACCAGCACAGTTCCGAGGAGGAGCTGGAGGTGATCAACGGGCCGTCCTCGCAGGCTGGTCAGCATCCCGGCGGAACGACGGCCACGGGCTCTTCGTGCGTCTCCCGGATTTCGAATCGCGGATGCACTTCCTCTCTGGACACGGAGGCGCCCTACGAGGAGCGGGCCACCACATCCAACTCGAAGCGCTCCAGCTCCACGCTGATGGTGGAGAATCGCAAGCGATCGCTGGCTCACAGCTCCGACGATGAGGTGGGTTCTGTCGAAATTGTCAGACTGTCTGACCATATATTTTTTGTCCAATATTAATCAAATCTCTGCACATTCCCCAAAAATAGTTGCGCAACTCGCTGGAGCCAATATTGACGCCCGTGAATTTTCGCACATCGCCGCCATTGGAGGCATTCAAGCCAAATCGTAGCCATATGATGTTCCGCTCCACAACGCCACTGATATTATCGGAGGCCCGATGTGGCATCGAAAATATTAAATTATGTGATAATAGTGTAAACGAGGAGAATGGCGACAACGGCGGCGGTGGCGTGGCAGCCAATAGCAGTAAGTGTGCTAAGATTGGTGCAGGAAACACCATCGGAACGGGAACCGGAACCGGAAATGGCAACGGTGCCAATGAGAACGAGCCGAGCGCGAGTGTGATCAAGGCGTGCAGCAGCTCGCTAAAGATGAGCAACAGCAGCCACCACATTTACCAGCCGCAGCCGAAGTATAGTTTCCACTACAACAGCTCGCGGAGCAGTCCGGCCAGCACCACCGGCTTGGATATGGAGGTGCGATCGGTCAGTCCGCCGGCGAAATTGTTCCACTGCGCCATATCGCCCAGGCGGCGACCCAGTAACAATGCCAGTGGTCAACCCGGCGGGGGCGCCACAACAATATCACCGTCATCGTCATCATCATCAGCCACAACAACGACACACAATGCTGCCAATTCCGCCGGAAATGCCGCCAACGTCACCGCCGCCGCCACCCAGAGACTGCAGCGACCGCATCGGCCGTGTTTAGATTTTGATAAGATGCAGCAGGTTAGTCTCTAATGCAGAGCACGCTAACACCAGATCAGCCGGAAAAGGGACAGAGTCGTGGGAGGATGGGGGGCGAATCAAAGACTTTTTATACGAACCAACAACCACAGCAACAGGCCACTGAAACTGAAACTGCAATGGGAGGATTGCTGAAGTACCTAGGGGTTAATGAAGGCCCTAGATAACTGGCAGCTCGGAAACAACCGGAGCAGGTTGAAGGACTCAAACAGCAAGAGGAAAATATCATCAAATCAAATTATATAAATCTAAAGGTAATTCAAATTTTAACGCAAACCAACAAAACAAAGAGAGAAACCTAAAATTTACAATAGATGCAGCTATTTTTTCACAATTTTAAACTGAAAACTGTAACAAAAATGCGAACGAGGATCGAAACGTTGATGAAAAAACAATAGATTTAAAAGCTCCGGGGCGTAATGCAGATCGAAAGTTGATACAAAAAGAATAGATTTCCAGGGGGCTGTAAAGAAAGATATTCATATGCAAGTCATATGGAGAAAAGGATCACAAAAATTGATTAAAAATAAATATAAGTAGGGTCTGGGGGTGTGTAAAGAAAAGGAGTAAAGATTTAGACGATAAAAGGCCAGCCAGTGGAAACTGTGAACTGTAAATATTGTATTTGTGAGGGATAAACCAAAAAACTTTTGAAGAATTGGCATGCCATCGATAGAAGAACGAGCGAAGTTGAATGTATTTTAATTATTTTAAAAGCCGACGAAAAACACTTTTGGTGATGTGGCAGAAGACTCAAAACTTGAAAAAGAGAATAATTATATTTCTATAAAATGATGGAAAGCTGAGAAAACTGTGAGCGGCTTGAGGGAAAGTGGGAAATATGGAAAGGAAATAGCATAGCAAAACACTTGGGACGAAGAAATAGCAACAGCAACAATGTGAAGCAACAATAGAAACTGAAATAATATAAACAAAACAAATGCAAACAGAACTTTTTGTATGAGAAACAAGGAGCCCAAAAAGACACTGTCGCAGCGACAGTTTAAAAACAGTTAAAATATGTGTTTAATGTACAACATAAAATAGCAAGCTATTTTATAAACAATATTCAATTTATCCACAATTAAGTGAATCAAGAAACGACAAACAAACAAAACCAAAAAGCTGCCATTAACATTCATGCATACGATTAAAACTCTTTAGTTTTACCAATATGATTGATGATTGCTTAATGGGAAGACTAGTAAACGCAACAATTAAACAATTGGCAAATGTTTGCAAGCTCATATGTGTATTAGTAAAGCATAATTACCTTTCTTTGTCAAGTAAATGAAGAAACAAAACAAAAAGGAACGCATCAAGTAAACCCATATTCAATTCAATAAAAACCGAAAGAAATGAAAAAAACCAAAACCAGTAAATGTGTGCAACCATAGCAAAGCAAAACATACATTTTTAAGTACCATATATATGTAAAACCAAGCAATGAAGCAAATCCAGAGCGAAATATTCAATGTAATGCTAATTTTAAATCATATTTACTAAAGAAAAGCAGGCAAAATTTAAGTTACATTCAAAAGTAGTCAATGGAATCGCAAGTTTCGTATGCTAATTTTTTCAATAACCATCTCATGCCCACTAAAAATGTTTCACACACCACCACCCAACATACAACACTTGAAACTCTCAACACATTCAACCTACCAAAACAGCATAATCCACACCACCAAGACACCAAGAATAAATATAATAATAGCGGGGAATCGATCGAGATGATGGAAGTCAGGCTGGGAGATGCGAAGTGCAGATATGATACTGATACTAGGAATGCAGTTTTCGTAATTTTTAATTAATTAAACAAAACAAAGAGAGAAAGAACAGATGAATTATATTATATATGTGTAACGAACGGGAGAATCGGAAGATATCATGGACTGAGCGTACATAAAGCGTGGAAAAGATAGGAAGCTGGTGAAGCATTCAATACTAGGATTTTAGTTTATAAGCTCTAAAGCGATGGAAATTATTGTGAGAACGGCTAACAAATACGGAAAAAGCACACACAAATCTATGGAATGTTTGGCTGCGGGGCGTTTATGTTGAATATTTTTGAGAAACAAAACAAAAACGACAAAAAAAAGTGAAAAACAAATTATGTTGTAAACAAAGAATACAAAGATTTCATTGCGTTTTGGGCCCAACTGACAGGCGCCCAAATACTTGTGTTGTACATAGTTACATTAATAATAACAATATATATTTAATATATATATATATACTTACTCATTAACAATTAAGTCGATGAACGGTACAAGTGCAAAAAGAGAGAAAGAAGTATGAAAAACAAAAACATTTGAGAAAAAATGAATGAAATGAAGATGACACAAAAACATAAAAAAATAATAAAGAAATGCTCTGCAATAGAAGAGTTTGGAGTATGCATTTTTAATTTATAAATATCAACGTGCCATTATCTGAATTGTTAATGTTGTCATGTTCGGAGACGATTCTTAATTTTTTAATTTTTTGATTATGGTATTTTAAATTGAAAAGAAAAAGGTTTTAACTGGTTAAATATATATTTTCAGAGTAGGAATCTCACTGAGTGGAAGCTCCAATTTTTGCACGACTTTTTTCTTTATTTTTAATATTTCTGTTTTATAAATAGAAGCATGCTTACATTTCTTGATTAACCGTCCTATGTCCTTTTTTATTTACATAACTTGTACAAAAATGCGTACGATATCTGTTATCCTATTTTGAAGAAACCTTGGCACAGCATGGCTATAAGCCCAGAATTTCCTGCTTAGTTTGGTCGCTCATGGCGTCAGACTTATTGTGTTGGGTGTTGGTGGGCACCTCGCCATCCCTATCGATTGGCATAAGTTTGTTGTTAGCAACTGCCTTTTTCTTTTTGACTTTTTCCGCAGGTGGTTGATTTGCTCTGGCGGGATCGTGAATCCGGGAATGTCGCTTGAGATCCCCAGACACCCGAAATTTCTTCTCGCAGATAAAACACTCATATGGTCGCTCGCCAGTATGCACTTTTATGTGACTTAGCAGATATGAGCTTGCCCGGAAAGTTTTGTCACAATATTGGCAAGCGTAGTTTCGTTCTCTGGTATGAATTCTTCGGTGAAGAACCAGGGAGTATCTCCTAGAAAAACTCTTTCCACAGAATTCACACATGTGCGCCTTGATGTCACTGTGTCGCGAGATGACGTGGTACTTCAGGTCGCCCCATTGCCGGAACCTAAAGTCGCACTTTTCGCATTTGAAGGGTTTCACTCCGGAATCTGTGGGCGATTAAGGATTAGTTGTTACTCTGTGGCAAATTCTAAACTAAGACTCACGTGTCCTTTCGTGGGCCTTTAGGGCACTCTGTGTGTAGAACGATCGATCGCAGCTGTCGCATTTATGGGATCGCTGCTGATTGTGCGTGTACTGATGATACTTGAGTGCATTATACGAGTTGAAATCCCGGTTGCACTTGTCGCAAAAGTGTTTTCTTCTCGTCTTACTTTCCGTCTCCTTAGGCAAACTCGTATTCAAGCCATCCATCGATAAGCTTTCAATGTGGTCCTCAGCCTCAGGATCTTCTTCTTCAAATGGAGAAGGTGGCCGGCTGTCGGTCATATCATTCTCTTCCAATTTAAAGGCTTCACTTAGCACTAGATGAGATCCTTGTAGTTGTTCGATCGATGAATTAGGCCGAGGACAAACAGATGGAGGCGGTGGTGTTTGGCAGACTGGTGGTGCAATCAACAGGGTTTGCTCATTTCCCTCGCTGACTTTGGGCAACGTTTTCTCTAATTTCGGCTGCCCTGGAGGTTCTGCCTTTTCGGAACATAGAAAATCCAAACCCATGTGCTCGCTTTCATGGGGATTCTCCTTGAGAAGTGGCGTGGCCTGTTCCTCAGAAGCTGGCGGAGGTTCTCCCGGCAGCAGGAGAGCTGGGAAAGTGATGTCCCTGAAGTTGTTATTGAACCATGGGGCGGATATTCCACTAGAGGTTAGTTCAAGATCCTCCAGTTCATCGCAGGTGTCCTCTATCGAAACCTTGTCCACCACATTTCGAATGCCCTCGAGCATATCCTCCGTATCGCTGAACTCCACATCGTCCACCACGGGCACAGTATTGGGAGTGCTATTGGTGTTGACCACCACGGGATTCAATTTATCTGTGGCTTGGCCATGCAACACCATATTGACTCCCACGTTGGTTACATCGTCCACATGATGACTGATGTTGTGGAAGTTCTCGAAGTTCAGCTGCACATCGTGGAAGACCTGGTCCAGTTTGGCCTGCTCTTGTTGAAGCTTTGGGAAAAGGATACAAAAAAATGTCATTATACAATTATTCTCATCAAATTATAAAATTTTAAATGCTAACCTTGTCTTGGGCGGACAGTCCGCACATATCGAGTGGTTCCTTTTGCTGCTGTTGCTGGGGATCCTGAACCATGGTGGGCTCGTAGTGCTGTTTGAGATGTGCGAAGAAATCCAGTTGCGTGTGTACAGAGTAGCCGCAGAGTTCGCAACTATAAATGGACGTGGGAGCCACATCCTGGACATGTTTGTGCTGGTCCAGATCAGCGTCTATGTTGCCCTTGAGTTTCCGGGAAATACGCTTCTTGTGGGGCAGGACCTTGCGCGCGTTCGTGCAGGAGGCATTACTGTGGGCATACAGCAGATCCTCGTCATCGTGCAACCCCGTTGAAACGTCGATGGGAACCGTGGGCTCAATGGCCAGAGCTGGAAAGGCGGGTTGGGAATCTGGCTGGGGGACAACATCATTTTCCGGCGATGACTTCACAAATTGAAAAATGGTGTTGTGAAAATTCAGTTCCGGTGTCAGCGGTTCTTTTTCCACGTAACCCACTCCGTTTTCCGAGTTTCCCGAACTGGGATTCGTGCGATCTATCAGATCCATTATAAAGTGGTTCGGATCTCGCATTAGCTCGGTGGCCAGCAGCGTCTATTTGTGGGTTGAAAACGGGTTAAGTCTCGGGTCCATATTCGTTATTTCATTGTACTCCACTTACATGATCGATGAACGGTTCCGTGTCCACTTCTTTGCGCTCCATTTTGCCTGATTATCACTTAACTTCATTAAATTCTTGGGGAACAAATGTTTTACATTAATTTGCTAACAGTACTGGAAAGCGGTGAAAGTTGATCAGCTGTTGCTGGTCTATCGATACCATCGATGCCACATCGATAGCAGTGTTGAAAAACCGCGGAATTTGAAATAATACCTTATCAATTCCAAACATTTCAACATTGTTCAAGCAAATTTACTATGTGATTTATTTTATTTACAACAAAATGTTTACAAAAGGTACTGTTTTGATTTTATAAGCGCCACAGAAATGTTATTTTTATTTTTTGATTATTATTTTCTTATCGTTTAAAATACGTTATTCCTTTAAGATTTTCCTAGTGTTCCCATTTCTTTAATTTAACTTTTTATACCCGTTACTCGTAGAGTAAAAGGGTATATTGTATTCGTGCAAAAGTATGTAACAGCTAGAAGGAAGCGTTTCCGACCCTATAAAGTATATATATTCTTGTTCAGGATCACTAGCCGAGTCGATATAGCCATGTCCGTCTGTCCGTCTGTCTGTCCGTCTGTCTGTCCGTCCGTATGAACGCTGAGATCTCGGAAACTATAAAAGCTAGAAGATTGGCATTTTGCATGCAGATTCTAGGAGTTCCTACGCAGCGCAAGTTTGTTTCAAAAAGGTGCCACGCCCCCTTTAACGCCCACAATAGCTTATATACGATTTTAAAAATTTAAATATTTCGGAAAAGTAAAAATGCAGTTTTATTGTGTTTATCAATACCTATCCCTTTAGCTGAGTAACGGGTATCTGATATTCGGGGCACCCGACTATAGCGTTCTCTCTTGTTTATATTAAAGGATTCAAGGTTTCCATTTTATTTACTTTAATTTTAATTGAAATACCTATTTAAACAAAATTGACTTGTTTACAAATTTTTTTATTTTTTAGTTGTGAACATGGTGTTTTGCTTTTTATAACTTAACAAGTTGTGTATATGGTGTTTTTATTTTAATATTAAACTTTATTGTCTAACTGACAAATGAAATGGAATCCCAAATCACACTGCCGTGTAGACATTTGACCCAAGACTAGGAGCACACAGTCCTCTTTAATATCATCATAATTAAAGGGTTCATCTAACATCCAGTTTAGAAATGTTGCAGGTTTCCCAGAGGCCACGGATACGAAATCGCCCTCCTTTATCTTTTGGTTAATGCCCAGCCAATACACAGCTATTTGGAGTTTCTCTTTGATTCCGTCAAACTCTTCTTGGTTTTGGAAAGCCGCTAGATAACCTCCTTTTTGCCGACACGCGATTTCAGCACCAGTCCAAGATTTCCTATCCTCGTGTTCGATGAAAAAGTATCTTGATCCAATTCGCTCGAATCCTGGCGTATCAGGTTCCGGGTTTCCTTCTAATTTGGCCTGGATCCCGTCCAGTTTTTCCTTTGCTTCGTCTATGGCGTTCAGAATCCTTTCCATATCTGTCAGTGTTTTACTTAGAGCAGCAGTTTGACCTTTAACCTGCTCTCTGAGATTGGCAATACGATGACGGATTGGATGAAGTGCCTCGTGAATGAATGGCCCGCATTCAGTTGAGTTATACTCGGACTTTGCCATCCCAACAAGGATGCAGGTCAAAATATAAATTAAGAACTTTAACATTGTGAGTGCGTAGAACCACGTACGGCAAATGTTGCCGAAGACTAATTTCGAAGAGCTTTTGCTGACCGCACTTATATTAGATCATCATCGTCGTGGTCTTATTGATCAAAATGCTTTTGATATGACCTTTATATCAAAAGCTAAAGTTAAGCTTTATGGGCCACCTTAAAGCACATCGCTGATTAAAATCTAATTCAATTTTACAACGTACACTCGGAATTCTTAGAAACTTAACATTCATTATATTCATTAAAAAGTACCTCAAGATCTAACGTTTTTGATTCGAATTTGAATTTAACGTTTAATTTTTTTTGTTCAAACACTTTTTGATTTGAAAAATTGTTTAAAAGTTTTAATAAAACAAAAACTGGGAATTTCTCAAAATCAAATGTAAATAAAACTAATAACCGATAATATAGATATAAGTGCTTTAATTTCACGAGTATCAAAGTGTTTGTTATGATTTATTGTTAAACTCTTTTTCGAATTGGAGTTCGTCAAACATCAAAGTGCATTTGTGCTCGACTCTCAAAACTTCCTCCCCCTTCGTGACTTGTCAATCGGATCGTTTAAGGTGTTCCTTGATGGATTCCTCAAGGGATTCGATTGTTATTGTTATGATTCATGGGAATTCGTGTGCGTAATTATCCGATTTGATCTAAACAAAGCCGGTTGATATTTATTTTTACACCAGTTTTAGTGAGTCAGAGGAGATCAAAGATGCAAAGCCACAAAAATATGTGGATTGTCTAATAATTGTTTATTAAACATTAATAGACTTTGGGCGAAGTGCTAAGCAGCCGTCGCTCGTCACATAAAATTGTCGAAAGAGTGTTCATAAAATTTTATGGAGTTTTTTGCGGTTAGTCGGCACTTGAAGTCGGGCCTATAAATACCAATGAGAACATATGGACGCTCCCCTTTCCCTTCTCCCTTCTCCCCCTTAAATTTGTGGACCTAAGCCCTCTGATCCGTTTACCATAAATATGTTGATATATCACTGAGCAGGATTAGCTTCCTGTTTGCGGCCATATGGAGATTGGAGATGTTCCGGGGACTTGAGGGGAAACTGGGGGAACGGTTTGGATTATGTGCCACTTCAGAATGTGGAATATATATGAAGTGTTAATTTGTAATGGGAATGTTTATGGCTCTGTTTGTTGTGGAACTTTATGTTCCATCCAATTGGTTTGTCAAGAAATGGGGAAAAACGAGAGAGCCATTAATTTAGGGGTTTTCAATATGGCAACAGCTTAATATTTAATTTAATATTTGTTGGGGCGTTATATGGTTTTTATTTTTAAAAGGGATATTTAATTCTATAAGGTTTTAATTTCGATTTCGATTGTATAAATTCATATCTATTTTTTTAATATAATCCCAAAGATGTTCAGCTGTTTTGCTCTATGAAGATTTTGATTTTTTTAAATTTCTTTCAGTTGTGCTCTTTCAATTGTAATATTATTCTGCGCTATACAAATATTGTTTTTTCATTTGGGGGAAATGCAAATTGTTTGCTTTTTGGCTCACACACTACTAACGCCCACCAGCTGCCCACCAGAACCCGTGATTTATTCCTTCTATTTCCATCCTTTATAGACACAATGCTACCTGACTCTGGTTCTTTGGATTATTTTCTGTGTGTTTATTTTGCGAGCTACCAAGCAATTTTTGTTTGTTTTTGGTTTATAGTTTTCTTAAATTTTGTATAAATAAATATGAAATTCTTTTTGTGGTTTTCAAATATTTTTCGCAAATATGAAATGTCAATATTTGCTTATAGAAAAATAATAAAAGTATTAACCTGCATGGGTAAATGGGATTGTTATGGTTGGTTTCTTGGAATAATTTTAGTATACAAGAGAGGTTCCCTTCGTTCCGTTTTATCGATGAACTTAAAAATTACTATTCTTGAGAAAAGAAATAAATTAAGTTTAGTTATAACTTCTGCCAAAACCAATATTTCCCACTTGATTTTTCTAACAATTTTGCCTTCAGCTCGTTAGAAGTTTGAAGAACAAAAAGAGGCTGCAAAAAAGACTGCGGCTGTACAATAATTACATGGTATACAATACATAATGCCATTATTATCATAAGCGTGCTTTTTTGTGGATACAACAAAAGCAGCAGCAAGTAAGTTTTTGTAAAAAAACACAACACAAGCGTAAGGACCTCCTCCTTCCGCTGCAAGGAAAGGCAGGAAACATGCAAGTGCCCAAGTGCCTTCTTTTGTTCTTCGTCACGTACTGCGGTGCTATGGACCCTCCTTGCCGACCTCCTCCTCGGAAACATCCAAACCCCATCCTCACATTCGGAAATAACCAAACAAGTGCAGCAGTGGCAAAACCACCTTACAACCACACGGATCCGACGCGAAGGACCAAGGACCAGAAGCAGGACCAACCTACCGCAGACTCGAGTTTTTCGCTGCTGCAAAAAGAGGAAGCGGAAAGGAGGCCCATCAAGAGCGGTTCGATCGCTGGAGAGAACTTCAGATACCCTGGTATCTAGAGGGTATATTGAGGTTTTCAAAAAGTAAATCAATCAGAGAGCTCTAATATTTAAGTAGCATTTTTACTTACAAGAAAAAAGCAAAATGTTATATGACATTTGTTATATTTTATTTTCGAGTAATTCAGAAAATCGGTTAAATAAGAAGAGTAAGTAGAGTTAGATTTGCAAAAAAATTTACTTGAAAAATGTTGAAATTTGTTTATGATCAGAAGAAATGTATATTATATTATAAAATAAATTATAAAAGTATTTAAAATATATTTAAAAACTCTTTAGAGATATTTCCTAATCACTACCATTTCTAAGAACCCAAATTGTATTTTTTTTAATTCTCATTGTTTTTTGTTGCCTCTTAGAGTTTGTCGCCTTGCGGGTCCAAATTATAAAACAAAAGCTGTAAAATGTAGCCAAATGCAAAAACAAACAGAGGAAAGACAAGCACCACAATTTCGCCCTTGGGGTTTGAAAGTCCCCCCTGTTTTTCCGGCTCCACCCATTAAACCTCCATTTTCCCCTCCTTTTCAATTTTCTGTTGGTGCTGCTGCTGCATAAATATTGTCAATAGCAACAACTGCAGACGGCAACAACAGCAGGATTTTAGTATTTTGTCTGGCCGGGGGATTGGAAAACCCCGCCCCTTTGGGCCCCACCACCCCTGCTTCCTGCCACATTTTTCCCATTCTTTGCTCACGTTTTTTTTGTTGTTATTGTTGTTAACAATTTTGTGCTCATCTCAGCGAAAAATCTGTTGACGCAATTGTCACGTGCTGTCCTCTGACGTTTTTTACTGGCATCTCCGTCCGTGTTCTGCCAAAAAGATGTTTTCTATATAGTTTTTGAACACATGTAAAGGGGCATAAGGATTCTCTTGCCTCGTGCCACTTTTGTCCCCGTGTCTGAGTTTTGAGCTCCTCGTTAAGTGCAATGCGGCGACGTACAAGTGGCGACAGCAATCTGATTTACTTACCCCCTTGTAAAAAGGACATTATGTGGGGGATAATGAGGCATGATTTCTGGGGAGGAGAAGAAACAATTTCTGGGGATGTAGAGTATTTGTTACTTAATGATTTGTAGTGCAAACATCATTAACCAGCAATTCTTACTCGTTACCTTTAGTATCACCCTTTTTTTAAATCTTGTGTTATAAAAACTTTTTCTAACACTTAACATTAAATTAAAAAGTAAAATATTTAAGAAAAATTGATTTACTGTGTAACTTTTTATAAAACCTTTTTAGAAAGTGAATTTGTTTGTTTCTAAAGTTCTAAAAAACAGGGATAACTACATTTATGGCACAGGTGTTAGCATACAATAGCTTGTTCAAGCCAAACCAATTTCTTTTAACAATATCACACCATAACCACCGAACTAATTAAAGAAATCTCCCGCTTTATTTGCAGTTGCCAATGTGCTTCCCCTTCTTGAAATGTAAAACATATATAAAGTGAAGTCGGGAAATCGACTCATGAACTACCCGCTAAGCTTGCACACGCTCGCACTGCTCTACCTTTTTGCCAATCTCGATATTCCGACATTTGTGTGCCGCGAAACAGGGGGAACCCAACGAAACCCAAGTCCATAGTCCAAAATCAAAAGAAAAAGCCAAGCCGGGGCATAAATATATATTTGTTTGCAACCAAATGAATCCCGCCTCGCAAAACGCATTCGATTCGAGTGGAGAGCGATAGTTTTCACATGTTTTGTTCGAGCATTAATTCCGTTTAAATGATTTCGGCAACAGATTTGAGCTTTGCACGTAATCAAGTGGAAATGAATTTGACCAACACAAGAGGTTTATACACATCATTTTGCCTGCCTTTATTTTTGCGGTGTCCCATTAGTTTGATTGTTTCGAAGGCCATTGAGCCGTGAAAAATATCAGAGAAAAAATCGAAATACCGAAATGAGCTGAAATTTTTAAATGCGAAGGTTTACATTGGTTGATAGCCGTTTTCAGGACTCGCAACGGGACGCTGCCGTAGATATTCAGGATATTATGCATCGAAATTCGACTTAACTCGATTTCAACGACCCATTTTAATCAAACATTATTGAGTAGATAAGTTAATATTATATTTGTATCAAAAATAGAGACATATATACTTGGATACGACTTCTTAATTCGTTATTGACTGGAATAAGTATGGCTTATCAATAATAAAATATTTATTAAATATTTAAGATATATGATGTGTGGAAAAGAATTCCTTAAGCAATGTATAGTACCCGCTATTCATTAAGGTCATTCGTTGACAACTTTGACCTTGTAGTCCCAACCAAAAAACCAAAAATTATAAACACCA